TTTCTCAATCCTATCATAGTCCCTATTGCAAATTAGGAGGGTCTTGACAGTGTTTGTAGAGCTTTCTCAAATATGATGATAGCTCATTTAGATATGTCTGCTACATTTTGTTTTAGGACAATGGCTTTGCTCTGAGACCAATACGGAAAGTCGCCTAGAAACAACCAGCCATTCATTTTTTAAAAGTTCCTGAATACTGAGAAGATTATCAGATCAATTCCGGATTACACTTTTACATTTTTCATGAGATAACCTTGCAATAATTTCCTTTCAATTTACTGAGATCAACTGCAACATCATTTAAAAACTATAAGTATTCTTTGGCCTGCAGATATCATTGTTCTTGACATCTGTGCAATAAAACACAGTCACCTCAGTTGGATTTGTAATGAGGCAGCCATAGTTCTGGACCTTCACTTGTCCTGTTGCCCATTTTATGGCTACAAAAACACATTGGACTTTTGTTGACTTAATAGCTGCGGTCTAACACACGCCCGGTGATAGTTTTATGTCTTTATTATTGTACCTTTGCCTCTTGTCAGGAGTACAAACAAGGGGTATTATAGGTGGGGAAGTCAGTTGAGTGGAGAGAGCATTGGAACAATACGCTGCCACTGGGTGCAGTTACTGAGTACTAAGGAGAGTCTCTGGTTTATATTGGATGGATGAAAAATATATCACCAAACCTAATGAAATTATGTGTAATAAATGAAATAAAATTTCATTTTAAACTACTTCATTGTTTTGATTCTGGTTAGTGGTATGTTGAATTTTTGACTTAAAAGCTTATATAATATTCGAGTGTTGCTTCTGAATTTTCAGACTACAGTTTTTGGATGGGTTTTTCTTATACCACTAGAGGCCTGTATAGGGATACTGATACAAAGGTTTGCAATCACTTTTGCCCCAATGTGCTCAAGGTGTAGTTTTCAGATTTGGGTCATAAGTTCACAGAATATTGTTTCTGTGAACGAAGTTTTGAAGATGCTGTCTTTAGTTTGCCAGATTGTCAAAGTTTTGGTCCTAAGATCCATGGACCATGCTTTACAGTGATACATTCCACTTATGAATGTGTCTTCTGCAATTAGATCCAAGCAGTTAGTTCAATCATTTGTTCTTCTGGTGGGGGACATGTTTGACATGCACAGTAGTAGATGGTGTCTCTGCTTTAACACACTGCTCATGTATGTTACATATTCATGTACAAGAAGACATTGGTGCCAAACTTTTTCTAATGACTAACTGCTTATCACCCTTTCCAGTGAGGCCAGTTTGTGTGTTGGCTCTGTTGTAGGATGTCTGTGTATATCTGATGGCTCAGGCTTGATGACTTTGTTAGTTAACAAAAACATGAGTCATGCAATATATTTATAGATATAAACCAGGTGAGGGAGAAACCTTCAGTAGAATATCTTGCGATATAAAAAGAGAAAGTCTCCATATATATTTTTTCTATTAAAATAAATACGCCTGGTGAGGGGGGAGGGCACCCTGAGCNGAAAAGGTTAATGTCAAGTCAGCTCTGAAGCTCAGGGTGGGGGAGGGGGACTGTATACAGTAACCTTTTAATACAAATATAGAGATGTCAATAACTTAAAATATTTAAACTTCGAGCATCCCAGATATTAAGAGTTCTAAAAAGTACACTTGTTCTTGGAGGTTGCCTTATTATTTAAAGATGTTTTTGGAAAGATGATTCATACATTGGTTCTACATGGAAAGTACCCATGTGTTTATTTATATTGATGCCTTCTTACCTGTTTGTTGACATTGTTAATTAGCTTGTCTCAGGGTGATTTATAAACATACACCTGGCGGGAGATAACACCTGTCCAATTAGTATATCAAACTAAGACAAGATGATATGCTTTTTTGTGTTTGCTAGTAACCATTTACATGAGTAACATTTGTATAAAAAAAATATCATGATTGTTTTCAATTAAGAGCATTTTATAAATGATATGTGGAATTCTTTTCACCAGTTACAGTTGAGTGTCTTATATTCATTTATCAGTTTTGATTTCATGAAATTTTCTGATGTATTGTCTTCCATCTTGAAACACAAATATTTAATTTTTGAACTAAAAGCATTTTTGGGCCTTCTGAAAAGAAAACAAAATAATTCTCACTTCATGTTTTGGATGCCAATCAGTGAAAGAAAAGCTGAAAAATTTTTGACCCAGACTGCTTTAGAGCTGATGTATTTCTCTGATTGCGTTTGTTGCGATCAGTATCCATGATTGCATTGACTGTCTCCTCTAATGCAATGTGTTTTCTCTTTTACTCTTTTCATGTGCTGTTTCTGGCTGTCGCATTGTGCAGTAAGTAGATACGATGGACTGTGAGTATGAAGTATCTGTCATCCTTCAGTGAAGGATTATTCATAACTTTGTATTTATATATATTGTATATTTAACAGAGCAACTGGTATTTAACAGCATTCTACAGAAACTGCAACCCACCTGTCCCCTCCACCCCCTTCACTTTCTTCCACCCCTACACCGTGAAATAATATGTGTGAACATGTTGTAGTTAGCAGAGTAGGCAGCATTGGTGGGCAAATGTTACCCCAGTGTTTGTTTTCTGAGCTGGTAAAATTTGCAACATATCTCCTCTCTGTAACAGTGTGCACACTAGATTAGTAGAAACCCTGCTCTGTGTTTACCATCCAAACTATCATGTGTCTTAAACAAAACACTGGGAGTTGGTGGCAAGAGAATTGTGGAGGTCAAGCTTGGGTCTTCTGAGTTACTGTTGCAGGGAGCAAAACACTGGGAATTACAGGGGTCATGTAGACAGATTTTTTCTTTTTAGTCCAATGTTCTGTCTTTTATCTTATCAGAAATGTTGCATAAGGATGTAATTTTACTTTTTATTTTTTTAAGTGTAAAAAGAATAGTCTCTGCTCCGTGATGGAATTTTTGCAATTTTGTTGGGCATAGTGACACATTTTGATATTTGAACAGTAATTTTAAAGGGGTGGATTTTATAAAGGGGTGGGTTTGTTTTATAGCTAGTTTGGGACTAAAACTTTGGACTTCTGCAAGCTGGTTTTGATATAGAATCAATCTTAATTTAGTGGCTGGCATTCCTCCTTATTCCAGATAGAATTGCAACTAGGTGAGAAATTTTAAAAATTTACATCCTAGGGAGAAAAAAAAATAGAGAGAGAGAGAGAGAGAGAGAGAAGGATCGGCCTCACTTTGACATATTTCAAGAATTTTAAATTTGAAAGATTATAGTTTATAAAAGTCTTCACAATCCAAGGTTATCGGGTGTTTTAGCCACAGGTAAGTCCTATAGTTTGACCATTGGGTCATTAAAGAAATTCCATTAAGAAAAGTAGGTTGGAGTGTGACCACATGTAGGTGTCAGTTAAGTGGTCATTTAAACAAAATGGCCCTTGGTGTTGGTGTCAAGGGGTTATGGCTGTGGTCACACTGGTCAGGCAGACTGGTTGATTTAATGCCTTTGGTCCTGTAATTTGACCAAACCTTACTTGGATATGATGTTTTATGAAACCAGTGGCTAGCTTAGAAAAATGAACTCAGGACCTGTTTAAGATCTGATTTTAGATTTCCAAAGGTTTCTAAATCTGAAGAAAATTAAATAAAATGAAAAATATATATAAACAGTAGGGAAAATATAATGGTTATATTTTCTTTTTAACAGTTGTCTTCTATTTCCAACACCTATGCAATAGATGGAGATTTAAAAGAGTGAATTAAGAAGTCAGTTAATGAAAAAAAAAAAAAAACAGTAGAAAAGTGGTTGCGATAAAAAGCTATTTTGACTAGACGCCCTGTCAAGTGGTCATTTGGTCAGACTTGACCCTTGGTGCCAGTGTTAAGGGTCAGTACTTGTGGTTAACTCATTCCAGCTTGATAGCTGGTTAATGAGTCTTCAAACACCCAAGTCTCCATTTCCATAGACACCATTGACACAAAGTTCGATCCAAATCTGATCTGCATGGACTATCACCGAGGGCAATCAACTTCACAGATAAACACATCTCCTCCTGGAGTAGAATATAGAAAAGCTTGGTGATTATATGAGTATGTCGGAAATGGGGAGTTGTGTTAATCTGTTAAACTGATTGCATTGAATGCGAGTTCTTACAGAGTTGGATCGATCTATGTAGACTGACAGTTTCAATGGGAATGAGCCCTTTGTGGACACCAGTTGAAATTCTGACCAAGTACTGGGTCTTTTAATTGATGGGTTAAGAAATATAAAGAAGGGAGAAATGGATGTGACAAGTTGGAGATTTTTTTCTTTGTGGTTTTTTTTTTGTTGTGATGTCTGGAATCAAAGGAAAAATTCACAATTAGTAATGTTCATGTGAGAAATGAGATAGTGATAGATTTATATATCACAAAGAAGAAGAAAAGGGAAGCTTTGGTTTTGATTTTTTGGGGGGCAAATGTCTTTGAAGTCTGTTTTCTGTTTGATGGCTGTATAGGTAAAGCATGAAAGGTTTGGATTTAAAAAATGTTTTCTTTGTCTCTTGGCACATGTCTGTGTCCTTCAGTTCATTACATAGACGAAAAAGGAAGTAAGAATGAAGTAGTTTGAATTGCTTTCTTTAAAAAGATGAAGAAATTATTCATTATATAAGGCAATAAAACCTATTCTTGCTTAATTTCATGAATCTCCTTTTTAGGCTAAAGTGCATTTTCAAGCATTTCATTGAGGATGAAACTTGAAAAAAATATGTACAAAATTCTGGAAAATTTACATGAAATCAGGGTGACAGATTTACAGTTTAAGGGACTTTATTTTGAAATGGTCCCTGCTAATACAAGCAGACCATATCACATGCCTCCCCTTTAGAATGTTATTAACCCAAATTGAAAAACAACAGTACATCTATTCAGTTACTGTCAATCAAAAGTCAATTGAGCCAATCAGGGACAGCTGATTTTTTGATTGCATTGTTTGCTGAGATAGTCCCGCCTCGTCTTTGAGGGAAGCCCCTCCTTCCTGTATAAAGAGAATGATATGACTCAATGTGTGATTCTTTAATGATATTAGCTTGTGGATAATAGACTGCAGCCATTTCTCAGTGGAGTTGAAATGAAAGAGGACGTGTACAGGGAATGGAACATAGCTGGGAGCTAGATGGTTGCAGAGAAGGATGCTTTTAAGTGCTAGTTACACAGCACATTCTGAGGTCAGATATATATAAAACCTTGTATTCAATAGAGAAGACACAATACTGGTACCATTGAGATATAGTATATATACAAATCACACATGGATTTTAATCTTGGGAGATAACCCTGTGGTTCAAGCATTGGAGGTAAAACTGCTGTCTCTCACACAGGAAAGGAAGTCCAGTCTCATTACAGGATAGAAAACACTTGGGTCTACATAGGAGCTATAATAGTGCCATTCAGGTTCAGTGTATTTATACTGGGGATAGATAGCAGTGTGTGTGTGCTGTACATTTAGAATCATCATGATTAGAACAGGGGGTGTACTCAACCCAGACAGGCCAAAGAGGACCTCTGCAAGTTTCCGAAAAGAAGGAGACAATGCAGCTGTGTCAAATTCTACGGGCGCTGCATCGGGGAATCTCAGTTCGGCCAGTTTTAGCTCAAGGCGTGATTTTGCCAACCGGTTTGCCCGTGGAATTACAGATTCTGACCACACTGGTGGTCTCAAGGATAGAGACACAACTAAAGGGGGCACTGTCAATCCCTCGGGGACTGGAGTCGGTGGTTATTCTAGGAAGGATTTTATAAATCGATTCAGAAATGCTGAGGATGGTCACCAAAAGGAGAAGGATTCTTCTACCACCAAAGATGGCCTCCACTCAACTTCGGCTCATATTTCTGTTGGATCACACGTTCAGAGTCGTTTTGGTGGAAGCGGAGGTGTTACCGCCACCAGGGGGACGTATGTTCCTAGGAGTAACCGCGCGGGGAGCACCGAGTCAACGTCAAGTGCTACTTCCGAGAGTGAAGAGTTGCACAAAGATGAAAATAAAGAGGGAGTAAGTTGTTGCTTTATGAAAGGGAAATACATTTTGTTCATAAATGGTAGACTGTGTTCAAAATATCAAAAGCATGACAAAGAGAACAGGCAGAATATGGCCTTCCTCTATTATTTTCTCTTTCTTCTCTGGACATCAATGTGTCACAAATAACACAGAAGAAAGGTGTCACTGATATAACGTATGGCACTTCCCTTCCCCCTGCTTTTATACCTTTTGAAAACAAAAGGATGATTTATTACCCAGGTGACACAATTATGATTTAACATACTTTTACAGTTGTTTGATCTTAAGTTGTTTATGATACATTCAAAACCAAGGTCTGGAGATAAAGTTGAGGCAACATTAAGTGAATATATATATTGGGAGGCAGATATGGAAAAGTTGGAGGTGGGAGAGCTTAGTTAAAAGTTTTACCCATTACTTTTCCTCTCTCTCTCCCCTCCTTTCCCCTCCATTCCAACACACCCCTGCTCAAAACAAATATAACATTGTTTAATTAGCGATTGGATATTCTAAAAGCATAATTTGTTGGCAAATGTTATAAATGGCTGGGTTCATCTTGTCTGAGAAAAGGAGAGAATGGGAAAAACTCTCACAAACAAGACTGGCATTGTTTAGTCCATACTAGTAATTGCACTTTATTAAATCTATATATGGTAACTGGTGGAAAATGACTGATATACTCCATACATTTAGTTAAGTTAAAGTAATTTACATGATGACAACAACAACTAGAAGGCATGTATATTTCTATGATATATACCACATAGAAATCTGTATGTCAGCTTGCAGAGGAACCCTGGGGGGTTCATTTACCATAACAACCTCATTTACTCACTGGTTAATAGGATAATGACATGCAATGTGAAGTGAGGGGTAAAGGTGTGTTTATTTTGTCTGACAGGTCTGTGATGATTAAGAACATGCTCCCTGATCATTTATTGCCCATAATCATGCTTCCACAAGGTTTTTGATCCCGTAAGAAAACTTGCCATCTTTTAGGTTGCCTTTTTAAAATCTATATAATTTTTATTTACTCTGTGATAATGTATGAAGACTTCAGGATATTCACAATGTTCTAGAAGTGTTGGTTGTTAGGAGCATTTTATGTCATTGATGAATGCCTTTTTTGTTTGGTAATAATGCTATAGATATCATCAATTACTCGGTCATTAGTTAAAAGCTGTTGACTCTTCTCTACTTTGATGTCAGAATTGGTATAATGTTATGTGCAAGTCATTGGAAAAATGATCACATAGACTTCTTGTGTGCAAATAGACTTTTTGTGTACAAATGTCTCTTGTATTTGGATATGAATTTTGTTTCATATTCGCTTCATATTCATATAAAAATGACTGCTTTGTACTTGAATATTGACACTTCACAGGGAAAGTAATGATATGAAACATGGGTCATTTATTTGCCATCTTGACAACCAGACAGGACTTCGATCATGTGAACATTGATAATGATGGTTTAAAAGTAAGATCCCTGATAGCTGGAGCCCAGTCCACATGCCTCATATGTTTACTGAGGGCTCCATATGCTTGGCTGTCATGCAAGGCAGAAATGAGGTGGAAATAGGTCTGTTCACATCAGGATCAATTTGGACCAGAAATAAGTCAAAAACACCATGATAGGACTAGGGGAAGGTGGAGGGGGCCTGTTTTTTGCAATAATTCGATAGCAGCCCGAAGATCACTAGAAGTATAATAATAGCAACTAGTCTGGACAGCTGACCACGTTACTGCTGGTCAAGCTGTTGACTAGAGGCCTTAAGAACTACGTCCATTTAAAAAAAAAATTGTAGCCTGTATAAGAGAGGTATATTGGCTGTTCAGCTAAAATTAAATTAATATAGGGATGAGCTGTGTTAGGACTACTTGTTCCCTAAATATATAGAACAGCTGTTGGTCTGTAGCTTCTCTGATTTTTGTGAAGCAGTTCCCTTTTCCTTGTTTAAATGGACTATTGCTTTATTTCAAATTAAGTCCACTAATATTTTCGATTTTAAATTTAAGACCAACTTTCAACTTGGATTTTTGTGTGAAATGCAGGCCCTGTAGTCTTGCTTGTATATGAAATCAGCATGCACACACAAACACTAGTAAACTTACACAGTAGCAGTGTATACACAGTGTAGATCTGTATGTGTATATACACTATGAGAGAGATAGAGAAACAGATAACACAGAGAGTGCAGTCAGTGCCCTGACATCTCAGCCAGGGGTTGTCTTTATTTGACTTCAGAAAATAAGGGGTTAGGGTGTTCTGATTGCTAAAAGCAAAAATTGCTGGTCGGTATCACCACAGGACTTGTGAAATGAAAATGAAACACAAGCCATTCAGCTGGTTTTCTAGACTCGACTTCCTTGTACTTTTAACGTCTTTATTTCTTTGTCTGTGTTGTGGATCAATAGAATAATACGAAGGATGGAGGGTGCTCTAAGTGGTACACAGATGTTGTCTCAGATCGAATCTTTCATATGAAATCAGGACTGTGTGTGTAGCGATTTCAAAAGGAGGGTTGTTTTTTCTGAAAAAGTGGATGTATTATGCTCTTTGTTGATCCATAGGCATAGAACGTACATAAAAATTCTTTTAGTGTTCTTATTCTGGCTAAATTCAACTCCCCCCCCTCCCCCCCCCCCCCCCAAAAAAAAAAAAAAAAAAAGGGGGGGGGGTGCTGTGATATTGAGGGTCATTATGACATTCCACTTCATTTAGTGGGCGTGTCTGAATCTGTACATTAAAATTATCGAAAGGGACATGTCAAAACTATTAGTTCTTCAGATAGAAAAATGCCTTCAGGACAGGTTATAATTACTTGTAGGTTCAAAGAAGATACACAGCCTGTTATTTCTTATGTCATTAATTAAGGACAAAGACTACCTTACTATATCTGACATGAGGGCCAAGGAAAAACTGGTTCTCATCTTCTAATCTTCTCTTTTAGATAGAGGTCCTGCTAAGTATAATGGACAACCCAATTGCTGTGATCTAGATGCTGTCCATGTATTGGACTATAGTAATATTACACACCTGGTGAATTTGACACCCTGTGCATAGAGGTGTAATACTTAAGGTGTGGTAGCAAGAGAGACATGGTAAAACTTAGATAGAAAGCATGTAAAATGGTAAATGAAACGGGGTTGTGGATCTTAAAAATTGTAACTTTCATTTAGGATTGAGCACTTAAGATATTTTTGGTTGATGCCAGACATAAATTTTTTCATACATTTTTTTTTTTTTTTTTGTGTGTGTGTGCGTGTGTGTGAGAATGTTACCTTTATACCTAAAGATAGAAAATTTCTTTTTCTTTTCGAACTTCTTGATGTCATGTGCTTGATTACAGGGGTGCAATTATTCACTATACAGGATTTTTTAAAAATGTGAACTGAGATACATTGTCTGTACATTTGTCAGCTTTACCTGTCTCTTTGTCTGTTTGATACGTAATGATTTATTCCTCTCTGGATATTATATAATTTAAGATCAGAGCTATGTTCTCATTGTGCCTGCGGCTTCCTTGGATATAAACATTAGCCTGGGGATCAATTATCAGCATGTTTTGAGATTGGTGATTATGGAAGAGAAAAACCCAACAAAGTCTACTTGTTGGCGTAGTTAAAGTGTGTTCATGCGCTCTAGTATGTGAGCATCCGTGCTTGTGCATGTGTAGAAATAGCAGAAAGTTACCCAAAAAACATTCTACTCTCTGGAACAGTGAAATGGAACCAGTGGCAGAAGCTGGGTGAACATAGCAAGTACTAGTAGGGGAACGAAACATATAATATGACTGGTGTTAGCTGGCTGTTTGCTGCATCATATGAATGGTTGGATTCAATTGATTTTTTTTTGTACTGACTTGTCTTTTCACAGCACATATGGTTTGTACTGGGAACTTCCCTAATCATCCAGATGCTATTGGTCTATTTTATGTCTTTTTCAAGAGGCAGTGTCTGAAAATGAAATTATATTAATGATGATATCAATAATAATAACAGTAATAATGTTACTATCAATATAGTATAAATAAAATTGGTATTGATAATAATAATATTACAATAATAATAAAAGTTTTACAAGAACATATATGAAACTGTCTAACCATTGTATAGAAACAACCTTTTTATAAAACTTTATCATGAAAAGAGTTTCCTTCTCCAAAATTGTGAACCCATAATTGATTCCCTTAGATGATTTAAATACTAGTACTTGTGATAGTAAAAGAGCAGTTTCCCAATTTGTATTTGATTAAGTTTTGGCATATTTTCCTTTTTTTTAACTGTGCATTACCAACTCATAATGTTAATGTCTCCTTTCTTTATCCAGTTTGATACCACTGGATGCTACGTTATCAGAAGATAGATAATTTCCTATGGAAAATCTGGTCATCATATTTAAGAATAACAGAATACAGATTCCCTGTTTTTTAAGNTGACATTCCACTTCATTTAGTGGGCGTGTCTGAATCTGTACATTAAAATTATCGAAAGGGACGTGTCAAAACTATTAGTTCTTCAGATAGAAAAATGCCTTCAGGACAGGTTATAATTACTTGTAGGTTCAAAGAAGATACACAGCCTGTTATTTCTTATGTCATTAATTAAGGACAAGGACAACCTTACTATATATCTGGCATGAGGGGCCTGGAAAAACTGGTACTCATCTTCTAATCTTCTCTTTTAGATAGAGGTCCTGTTAAGTACAATGGACAACCCAATTGCTGTGATCTAGATGCTGTCCATGTATTGGACTATAGTAATATTACACACCTGGTGAATTTGACACCCTGTGCATGGAGGTGTAATACTTTAGGTGTGGTAGCAAGAGAGACGTGGTAAAACTTAGATAGAAAGCATGTAAAATGGTAAATGAAACGGGGTTGTGGATCTTAAAAATTGTAACTTTCATTTAGGATTGAGCACTTAAGATATTTTTGGTTGATGCCAGACATAAATTTTTTCATACATTTTTTTTTTTTGTGTGTGTGTGTGTGTGTGTGTGAGAGAGAATGTTACCCTTATACCTAAAGATAGAAAATTTCTTTTTCTTTTCAAACTTCTTGATGTCATGTGCTTGATTACAGGGGTGCAATTATTCACTATACAGGATTTTTTAAAAATGTGAACTGAGATACATTGTCTGTACATTTGTCAGCTTTACCTGTCTCTTTGTCTGTTTGATACGTAATGATTTATTCCTCTCTGGATATTATATAATTTAAGATCAGAGCTATGTTCTCATTGTGCCTGCGGCTTCCTTTGATATAAACATTAGCCTGGGGATCAATTATCAGCATGTTTTGAGATTGGTGGTGATTATGGAAGAGAAAAACCCAACAAAGTCTACTTGTTGGTGTAGTTAAAGTGTGTGCATGCGCTCTAGTATGGGAGCATCCATGCTTATGCATGTGTAGAAATGGCAGAAAGTTACCCAAAAAACATTAACTCTCTGGAACAGTGAAATGGAACCAGTGGCAGAAGTTGGGTGAACATAAGTACTACGAGGGGAACGAAACATATGACTGGTGTTAGCTGGCTGTTTGCTGCATCATATGAATGGTTGGATTCAATTGATTTTTTTGTACTGACTTGTCTTTTCACAGCACATATGGTTTGTACTGGGAACTTCCTTAATCATCCAGATGCTGTTGGTCCATTTTATGTCTTTTTCAAGAGGCAGTGTCTGAAAATGAAATTATATTAATAATGATATCAATAATAATAGCGGTAATAATGTTACAATCAATATAGTATTAATAAACTTGGTATTGATAATAATAATATTATAATAATAATAAAAGTTTTACAAGAACATAATTATATGAAACTGTCTAACCATTGTATAGAAACAACCTTTTTATAAAACTTTATCATGAAAAGAGTTTCCTTTTCCAAAATTGTGAACCCATAATTGATTCTCTTAGATGATTTAAATACTAGTACTTGTTTTGGCATATTTTACTTTTTTTAACTGTGCATTACCGACTCATAATGTTAATGTCCCCTTTCTTTATCCAGTTTGATACCACTGGATGCTACATTATCAGAAGATCATTTCCTATGGAAAATCTGGTCATCATATTTAAGAACAACAGAATACAGATTCCCTGTTGTTTTAGTTGCTGCAAAAGTTCTTTGTAGTTTTATAAGACACATCCTACAAGACATACATCATATGCCTCTCTCTGTTACCTCATATGCCTCTCCCTGTGTTAATTGCCCTTTTCAGGGCCTTACATTTTGACTTAGATCCAGGAACCAGTAACATAAACTGTTGAAAAAAATGCAGGGTGCCAGACTCGCTTTTATAAACATAACTTTTTGTAATATTTTTCATTTTTATCGAAAGACTAATTTTGATACTTTTCAGAGCCCTTTTAAGACCAGTACATGTGTATGCATTTGATGTGCTAAATTTTATGTATTTTGTATGCATGTATATATGTCACTGTGCCATATATATGATAACGTGTGCATGTATATGCATGTGTGGGTGTGCGTGTAGGTTGCATTATTACTTTTTTGAAAGGGAGCATTTATTGCAGTGGAGAAACATCTTGTTCTGAATAACATAAGGACTTATTCAGGATGCTGTAGAACTTCAGCAGAAATTTGCCCCTAACACAAAGGAATGACTCTTCGTTTTGTGGTTTGTGGCTTAAAAGCTGTATTGAATCAATATACATTGCCCTATATACGTTATTAGGGCACATAATATATAATCACCAGGACCAGAAAAGTGGATTTCTATAGGCACAACCAAAAAAACTACTTTATTTTCTTATCTTTGTTCACACATTCTCAACGGATATGGGAAGTAAAATAGGCTTGGCAATGTTAGGAGGAGGAGAAAGTTCCCCATTATTTTCATCATTGCACTTTTTTTATTTTCAACTGCGGGATATTATTTTACTATTCTGCACAATGGCTCTCATTCACTTGTTTTGAATAAATCTTAAATTTTGAGAGATTGGATCATTATGAACATAACATCTGATATGAGTAAACGTCCCTAATGTCTAAAGCATTTTATAATCTTTTGAGGTAAAAAAAAAAAAAGATGGTTCACAGATTTCAATGTCATGTTCTATGGCATATCTTTTTTTTTTATGTTTCCCCCCCAAGGTTCATGTTATATAGATTTCTGTAAATAGCCAAGTACACATCTTAATATAAATGAAATCATGCTAGTAATAGAGTCCAATCATATTTGTTAACATATTGACTTTTCTGACTGAGAAATGTGACACACCAAAATTTGTAGGTCAAAGTATTCTGAAATCTGAAAATTTCAGAGTAATACACAGAGAATTTTTTTGTGAAATCTCACATTTCCAAATAATACTACTGGGACAGCCAATATTAATTTTTAATTTCAAAAACAGATGCATTTTTAAGAAAATATTGTAATATGTTAATCATGAAGCCCTTGTTCCAAGACTACTTGTACATTCTGCTATGGTCAGTAAGCAAACTTAAACCGAAACCCAAGAGATATAGAATGGTCATTAAGTAGTTATCAGAGGCTACTTATTCAAACCTATCAGACTGCATCAGTGACCATCAAACATCCAAACACTTGGTCATTTCATGAATGACCAGCAGTCTGGAAATGTATCAAGTGGAGGAAATGGCAAAGAGGGTGGTGCAATCATTGATTACTGATAGCCTGTTTAAATGTCCACTGGTCAGCAACAGTGGTCAAAGGGGCATGTTAAAGACCTGTCCTACCTGGCCAGTTTAAAGGGGGGGGGGGGGGGAGAGAGAGAGAGAGAGAGAGAGAGAGAGAGAGAGAGAGAGAGACCAGCCAATGCTTTAAACTTAAAATGAATGAAGTTGGTCAGCTGATTAATGACAAAAAGGCACAAAAACTGTTTCTAGTGGAATTAGGTTGGCCAAATCCTACATGACCACCCACTTCACTGCAAGCAGGCAAGCAGCCTTAATACGAGTGGCCCATGTGATGGCACTTGATTTTAGACTGTAGATATGTGGGACTACAGAGAGATTAGTTATCCTACCTATGTCTGGGCTAATCAAAAACACAAGACTGAATAGGACTGAGCTAGGCAGATCCAACTTGAATGTGAACACACCTGTAGGACATTTAATGTAAACCATTTCTCATTCAGTAACAATCTTATCAGTTTGCAAGTGCAAGTCATTATGAGTCTTGACTATTATATTTTGTTAATGTGTCTTTTGACAACTGCCCACCTATTACTGAATGTCGGCCAGCCTGCCACAGTGACCAGTGGTGTGGACACTGAAGCTGAATAGTCACTGAAATGGGACTTCCCAGATGTTGTGTAACTCTAGCCCAGCTTATGGTGGACACAGTGCGATGTTATCTGTCTGTGGATTTAGTTACTAAGTAGAAAGGTACACATTTTAAACATAGTAGAGATGACTATGATGGGAAGGTTGGTCTCCGTGCAGGCCGGTTTTAATAGGCTCTCTGGCATCACATACCCCCTGTAGACATTGCACTACTCAGTAGGCACTGTTTAAAAGCAGCAGAAGTTTTGAAAACTTAAGACATCACCACTTAAAATGGGGACTAAAATTATAATGATAACTGATAATTAAGATAAAGTTTGAGAACTAATGTTTGCACCTGGGAACCCACAGTTTAATTACATAATTTGACCTTGACCTTAGTGTCTAAGGTCGTGGTCAAATTATGTAATTGTATCAAAGACTCTTCTTTGCCTGTGTTGTACGAGGACAGCGTTCATTCTTAGACGACAGATGGCTGATTTACAGTGCCAATTGTGTGTCATGACATCCTAAATCAGGTGACAATTTGGCTCTTTTCACCTGCTGGTACTATAGTACTGTAATCAGGGACAGTTATGTTTTATTACATGGTTTATGGCTGTTGCCAGATGGATTGTAGGGGCTAACAAATTTGATTTTATCATACCTATCAAAACTGAGTTATTAGGATTTTTTTTTAATTATGCATGCCAGTATGTTTTATTGCAATATTTATACCCACAGATAGCAGTGTTCTATAGTCAATTTCAGTTCTGTTTTGTCATAATTTTGCTTCGGCGGCCAGTTTAAAAGAGGGGAATTTTTTAGTGTATAGTTCTCTTTAACCAGAATATCAGTCTGATAGCTAAGCAGTATTTTTATGGTATGCATGACAGATGTAATTTATAGACAAAAGACACAAGATGCCACAGCTGGGGAGGTAATATATGGGATGTCCCTGTGTGTCTGGCCATGATACTGGTGTCAACAAGGACAAAGATAAATATGCATCGGTCACTCTTGAGAATAATAATAATAATAATAATAAATGAAGTTTTTCAGTAATTTGCTCTTTTATGCAGTCTTTTATCTTTATCATTTTATTTCTATTTCAGTTCTTTTGATATTTTTCTTTCCCATTTTCCCATTTCCCAATTGCAATTTCTTTATAAATTTTAAATACAGAGCTTTGAATAACATGGCACCATTTTTTCTTGCTTCAGCTGTCCAAGCGAGAAGCTTTCTTCAAGAATGAGCCCCCAACAGCAAAGTTCGACCCTACAACGAGAGACAAACTAGATCACAAGATGGACAAAGAGAAAGAAAATGGACACCCAGAAACTTCAGGGAAAGCACCCAAGGAGTTGGACGGTTATGTTGGTTTTGCTAACCTCCCAAACCAAGTGTACAGGAAATCAGTGAAGAGGGGTTTTGAGTTTACTCTTATGGTAGTTGGTAAGTGCCTTATCTTCATTGCCACAGCTTTGGCTTTGTTTACACTCTCTCTAAAGTTTTTTTTTCTTTTGGTAACTATTTCTTGATGATTTATCTATTTATGAGAAGAACAAGCTTCGATTTATATTGATCAAGTTTTGAGTTGAAATCTTTTTAAGGTAGTAAATAAGTGCCTTATCTTTTTCATGTTTTATCTCTGCTTTAAATTTCCATATTTGAGAAAAAGATCTTTTACTCTTTCATGGTAATTGATCTAGTTCTTGGATAAAAAAAAAACTTACTTTCATTGTATTGGGAAAAATGCTTGCAGGTTTTAAATCTTTTTTTGTCAAGAATTTAAGTGTTTTTGGATAAATTGGATACCTATAACCAGGGCCATTTTGTTGATGTTTTCTGGAAGTTATTAAGTCAGAAAGACTTGTTTTGAAGAAGAAAGTTGTGTTAAAGGAGGAATGGTGTAGGAAGAATTATGAAAACAGGTTGTGTTTTTGCCTGGCACGTGTTGCTAATATATGCTGTTGGCGTGACTCATTTTGAGAAGAAATATTTAGTAAAGTAACAGGTTTCATTCCTTCTGTTACTGAAATTCCTCTTCCCAGCCTATTTCATAATTTGCTTCTAAACTGGCTTGTATGAAGATGTTTAAGAAAATATATATTTATAATTTGAAAACTCATCGTATTAAGAAACAGTTTTTTTTTGCTATAAAAAGACTCTTCTGTCACAGATTGCAAAATTACTCACATGAGATATTTGGGCCATCTCCACCAGGCCCTGGGTGACACAGACGGCACTGTGACACATAGTCTAGAGTATTTTGTGCTGCCTGCCCCCCCCCCTCCCCCCATTTTCCCTCTACTTCACCCCTCCCCTCCCCCCCCCATGACATGGCTGATGCACTCATAGGTGAGTAATTGTGAAGTTTGTGACTGAAAAGTATTTTTCACTTGTATCATCCACCAAACTGCAAACTTTTTAAATGATTTTTTGCCTGTCTAAGCTGACCTTAAAACTGTAGACTGCTTTCAAAATTAACTCTGTGTGATGCACCCTGTATCTGGCCTGGCATTTGTTGACATATGCATATCATTTTGTCACAAATGCATGTCTTGTGGTTGCACATTCACCAAAACTTTCAAAAAATAAAAAAAAAAATAAATAAATAAATAAATAAATAAATAAATAAATAACAGGTGAAAGTTGAATTAAGAATGCAAATTACAAATAATTTATGTTTTGAGAGGTTGTTCATGATTTGATTGGTTTGATAGTCTACCACAAGGCACGGTTGTGAATATAAGTCTGTTGCTAGGGTTTTGAAGGGGAGTGCTCCCCCCAAAAAATATATATATTTTCACTCCACATATTTCATAATGAAATTTAAAAACATTTTGAGAATGAAGCTAATGTGGACTGGGTTTAGGTGAAGAGATATGACTTGATTTACAATGTTTGTATTTTTTGATAGTTCTTAACTTGCACATTCTTGATTGTTCATAACTAGGGTCATTTATGTGAAGCAGCAGTATAGTATAAGGTCCAGCTGTGGTTTGTGTGGAATTACTCAGTGCTGAGCCTGATGCCTTTCCGTGTGATTCATGCATCCTTAAGGGCTGACACATTTGCTAGAGGAATTCAGTAACTGAATGAATAGCTGTATTTTACCTTGTGGTTAGACATTGTTGTGATGACATATGCTTTACACACAAGATAGGTCAAAGTAGAAGGTGTGTCAAAGGAGGAGAGAGAGAGAGAGAGAGAGAGAGAGAGAGAGAGCTTATTTGATGTTTCAATAACTTTGATTCCTCTTGATTATTTTCCTCGCAAGAACATGGCTTGGCAAATAATCATAATGAAAATCAATAATAAGATTTTATATCATTTGATTCAGTTTAAATAGGCATCAGTGCAAAACAAGATAACTTAATAAAGTATACCAACTTTCCTCACATGAAAACTATGTAACCCATGAATTTGAGGAAATTGAAACTTCTTGACCAAAAAAATATTGCATAACTATAAGATTGGTTTTTGCAGTAAATCTGGTAGAGTCCTTCATGCCAATTTAATCCTTGCCCTTTTTGGTTTAAAATTAGAGTTTGGAAAGAATACTTTATGATGCCAGTAACTAGAGAACAAGGCCCTTGGCAGGTATAGCAATAGGCACAATGTGAAATAAGCTTCTTGGTTTGAAATGAGAGTAACAATTGAATATAGTACAGGGCCAAGAATTGGAGACTTAGGATCCCCTGGCATGCATAAAAATAAGTCTGTACTTTGTGAAATAGACCTTGGAAAGGAAGACTGAAAAGTTAATAGAGATTGGTGAACTTAATTTGAAAAGAAAGTAGAAGATTTATCTCATGTTACTGCTTATTCTTGTAAGACTGCATTCCGACCACTGACCCTGACATGACCTTTTGTTGACCCGTTTCAAGTGACCTCCAGGGGTCATCTCAGTAGCTCATATACCATGAGGGGTGGTCCTCATGGTCGTATGTCTAGAAAAACAGAAACAAAAGCACTAATATAACAAGGAAGATTGCACTTTAGGATTTAGTGGTGAAAAGTGATCTCTACTTTTTTTTGCGTGTTTGGAAATGGTGGAGTGGCATGCTGGAAGTTTTCCATGCTTTTAACAGCAAGGGAACCAAAGAGTAGGGCCTTTCTGACAATTTTGCATCAGATTGGTTTAATCTATTTGGATTGGAACATGAAAGCACAATAAACATTACAAGAGCAAAATTCACTGATAAAGATTCATCACTGAAATGTCCGAGGATAGCAAAAAAAAAAAAAAAAAAAACGAAAAAGAAAGAAAAAAAAAGCCTCAGATTTATTTTCATTGTGGTCCTAGCTGTGGCATCAGATGGACAAGGCACCCCAAATTTTGGTTTATAATTTTTTTTGAGTTAATCAGGTTAAATAAAATTAGGTCAATAGAAGTTAGTTTCCAGTTCTCTCCAGAACTCAGGGTGGGGTTTGTGGTTGCAGCATGCAAATAGTGCAGTGTTTCCCAGTCCTGGTAAGGCCTGAAAACCCAAGGTGGATACATGACAGAGACTGTGCTTATCTAGTAGAATTTAGTTCCTAATAATCTGTGAAACTTGGGGTACATACATTGGGAAGTGAAGGGTAAAAGTTCTCTGCACCTAGTCAGTGGCAATGGCAGATCAATTATAGTCCCAGTTTAAGGAGTTTGTTGTGGGAATAGCAGGCATAGTTTTCAACAAAATCTTTATTTATTCATCTGGTTGTTGCCCAGAGTTGAGGCCACAGAGGTGGGGGTGGTTCCAAGGAGTCCCAACTATTTTTTATTCATAGTTATGGGCACCATTGTAGTAATATACAATGCGAAATCAGGATTGATTTTCTTCATGCTTGTTCAGTGGCTGAATTCTTTTATGTTTGGGCATGGTTTATTGATTTATCAGTTAAGAAAGGTATTGTCAGATGAACCAAGTGGGGCTACTAGAATTAGATTATGGAGTTTTTTGTGCATTTTATTGTTTTTAGACTGGCAGCATCTAAGAATCACTCTGCAAAGTTTATGGAGTATTTTTTCTTCTTTTTTTTCTATGAAGTAGAAAGAAAGATATAAAGATGTGTACGTTCTTTATAGAAGGTAGTACATGTTAATTGTACCACCAGCGTTAGCGCTGGCGGTACACATGGTTTCGGTCTCGTCCGGATCGTTCCGCCGGCTCCCCCGGCTCCGCCGGACGGCTACCGTTACCGCTTCTCCTCCTAGACGGTAAGGGCCCCCGTACCCATCTCATGGATTTAGCTCACNAAAAAAAAAAAAAAATAAATAAATAAATAAATAAATAAATAAATAAATAAGTAAATAAACAACAGGTGAAAGTTGAATTAAGAATGCAAATTACAAATAATTTATGTTTTGAGAGGTTGTTCATGATTTGATTGGTTTGATAGTCTACCACAAGGCATGGTTGTGAATATAAGTCTGTTGCTAGGGTTTTGAAGGGGAGTGCTCCCCCAAAAAATATATATTTTTTCACTCCACATATTTCATAATAAAATTTAAAAACATTTTGAGAATGAAGTTAATGTGGACTGGGTTTAGGTGAAGAGATATGACTTGATTTACAATGTTTGTATTTTTTGATAGTTCTTAACTTGCACATTCGATTGTTCATAATAACTAGGGTCATTTATGTGAAGCAGCAGTATAAGGTCCAGCTGTGGTTTGTGTGGAATTACTCAGTGCTGAGCCTGATGCCTTTCCGTGTGATTCATGCATCCTTAAGGGCTGACACATTTGCTAGAGGAATTCAGTAACTGAATGAATAGCTGTATTTTACCTTGTGGTTAGACATTGTTGTGATGACATATGCTTTGCACACAAGATAGGTCAAAGTAGAAGGTGTGTCAAAGGAGGAGAGAGAGAGAGAGAGAGAGGGAGAGCTTATTTGATGTTTCAATAACTTTGATTCCTCTTGATAATTTTCCTCGCAAGAACATGGCTTGGCAAATGATCATAATGAAAATCAATAATAAGATTTTCTATCTTTTGATTCAGTTTAAATAGGCATCAGTGCAAAACAAGATAACTTAATAAAGTATACCAAGTATCCTCACATAAAAACTATGTAGCCCATGAATTTGAGGAAATTGAAGCTTCTTGACCAAAAAAATATTGCATAACTATAAGATTGGTTTTTGCAGTAAATCTGGTGGAGTCCTTCATGCCAATTTAATCCTTGCCCTTTTTGGTTTCAAATGAGAGTTGGGAAAGAATACTTGATGATGCCAGTAACTAGAGAACAAGGCCCTTGGCAGGTATAGCAATAGGCACAATGTGAAATAAGCTTCTTGGTTTGAAATAAGAGTAACAAATGAATATAGTACAGGGCCAAGAATTGGAGACTTGGGATCCCCTGGCATGCATAAAAATAAGTCTGTACTTTGTGAAATAGACCTTGGAAAGGAAGACTGAAAAGTTAATAGAGATTGGTGAACCTAATTTGAAAAGAAAGTAGAAGATTTATCTCATGTTACTGCTTATTCTTGTAAGACTGCATTCCGACCACTGACCCTGACATGACCTTTTGTTGACCCGTTTCAAGTGACCTCCAGGGGTCATCTCAGTAGCTCATGTACCATGAGGGGTGGTCCTCATGGTCGTATGTCTAGAAAAACAAAACAAAAACACTAATATAACAAGGAAGATTGCACTTTAGGATTTAGTGGTGAAAAGTGATCTCTACTTTTTTGTGGATGTTTGGAAATGGTGGAGTGCCATGCTGGAAGTTTTCCATGCTTTTAGCAGCAAGGGAACCAAAGAGTAGGGCCTTTCTGACAATTTTGCATCAGATTGGTTTGATTGATTTGGATTGGAACATGAAAGCACAATAAACATTACAAAAGTATATTTCATTGATAAAGATTCATCACTGAAATGTCCGAGGATAGCAAAAAAAAAAAAAGCCTCATATTTATTTTCATTGTGGTCCTAGCTGCGGCATCAGTAGACAAGGCATCCCAAATTTATGGTTTATAGATTTTTTTGAGTTAATCAAGTAAAACGAAATTAGGTGTGTAGAAGTTAGTTTCCAGTTCTCTCTAGAACTCTGGGTGGGTTTGTGGCTGCAGCATGCAAATAGTGCAGTGTTTCCTAGTCCTGGTAAGACCTGAAAACCCAAGGTGGATACATGGCAGAGACATGCTAATCTAGTAGAATTTAGTTCCTAATAATCTGTGAAACTCGGGGTACATACATTGGGAAGTGAAGGGTAGAAGTTCTCTGCACCTAGTCAGTGGCAATGGCAGATCAATTATAGTCCCAGTTTAAGGAGTTTGTAGTGGGAATAGCAGGCATAGTTTTCAACAAAATCTTTATTTATTCATCTGGTAGTTGCCCAGATTTGAGGCCATAGAGGTGGGGGTGGATCCAAGGAGTTCAATTATTTCTTATTCATTGTTAAGGGCACCATTGTAGTAATATACAATGCGAAATCAGGATTGATTTTCTTCATGCTTGTTCAGTGGCTGCATTCTTTTATATTAGGGCAATGTTTATTGAATTATCAGTTAAGAAAGGTATTGTCAGATGAACCAAGCGGGACTACTAGAATTAGATTATAGTTTTTTGTGCATTTTATTGTTTTTAGACTGGCAGCATCTAAGAATCACTCTGCAAAGTTTATGGAGTATTTTTTCTTCTTTTTTTTTTCTATGAAGTAGAAAGAAAGATATAAAGATGTGTACGTTCTTTATAGAAGGTAGTACATGTTAATTGTACACTAATCTTTTGATTGGTGAATGAATGAACACTTTAATTGACCAGCCTTGAATGGACTGTATATAAAAATAAGGAGAAAAACAGTCGCTGAGGTCTGCTTCTAAAAAAATTAAGACCACAGATATCAGAACAAAATTTTTGGTGTACTTCCTTTCAATTCAGGATAAATTCAGACTACTTGTCTGCTAAAATAATATAACTTTGTCTAAAATAGTAGCCATTTCTTGCTTTAAATTGTATAAAAGGCATGTAATATTTCATTTAAATGGTCTACTGATGGTTTGTCTTGGGTCAAACTACACTAAAGAATTTGGTCTCAATAGTCCAGACCATCTTTTGGTGTTAAGTTCCTTAGTGAAAAGGGGCCCCAGGTGATGGGGAAACCTTCTGCCATACAAAGGACGAAATGCAAAATACGTAAAATATGTATCTCATGATTTATAATGCCAGATGTATGATTCACCATTGCATGGCGTAGAGGACTGCAGCAGCCCTGTATGAGACCTGGGGCAGATTTTCTCTTCAACATTTTGTGGCTTTTCTTACAAGAATTGCTGCTTTCATAGCTAAATGTATGTTTGAGAGCCAGTTTTGTTTTTGGTCAGATGTAGCCATGAGTGGTGTTGGAACAGAGATTGCATGAACGTGAAGTGCTTGGTTGTGGTGTGTCACCTTAGCTTGTCTTGATAAATTTATACAAAAAAAAAAGATGCTCAAAAGGACTTTGCTCTTAATCTGCAAGTAACAGCTGCATATCTGAAATGCACACTTGACTATTTTTATATACATTTTGCAGTTAAAGCCTTATGCCCACCAACATAATTCTGAATTTTTCAAGTGTGTGTGTGTGTGTGTGTGTGTGTGTGTGTGTGTGTGTGTGTGTGTGTGTGTGTGTGTGTGTGTGTGTGTGTGTGTGTGTGTGTGTGTGTTAAAGGTGAAAAAGCTTTGGTTTAACCTTGGCTGAGCTAAATTGAAACTCCTTGGAATGTGATTTTGCTGTGAAAAATGTCCCTGTGATTCATGTGAATAGTTGATTTATCACAGGGCTCTATTGAAATAGAAATCTGTGTATGCTTCATTTTCAGCATGTGCTGGTAATAGGGGTTTAATGTGGGAAAATTGCTTTCTAATGCATTGTAAATTACACTGTAGTTAGCAAAATGAAATCAAAGTTTTTTTCTTCTTTCTTAACATGCTTTTCTTTGTGGTTCTTGTGAAAGAGAAAAGATTGGAAAATTTATGAGTAAGGCATTGCAGTGTATTTGTCTGTTGGATAGAATGGTATTAGGTGTTTTATTTTCTGTAGATGATCAGTTTTGTTATAAAAATATGAAATGCAAATCTTATAGACAAATGGAGCACAGGTATAAAGTTATATTTTGATTCAACTTGTAACAATCTCTGTTGGTTTGATTTGGATACCCACAAAAATTAAGTTTGGCCTTGGTGAATTATTTAGGAGACTTGAGAGGTAGTTTTTTCTGCCACAAACCATGGCACTACTGTGTTATTTGTACCTGAGACGTGTTGTTCACATGGAATATGTAAAGATACATGATACACATAGAGTGATATCAGAAAGAAGATGGATTTTACTTGGGCGGTGTTAGAAGTGAAATACACACTGTTTGTGTGAAAGGAGAAGGCGTGGAAAGACTGTACAATGGTCTGTGTTTATGTGATTAAAAAGGCATTGTACGTGTGAAGCCCATTAAATTTTTGTTCTCTCTACCCCCCCCCCCTTTTTTAATATAAGAGAGAGGGGGGGGGGGCATTGCATCAAGCCATTTGGGATGTTGAAAATGGTAGAATTGATTAAATGGAAAAAAAGAAAAAAGAAATGAGATCATTTCTTGGTGTGACCATTACTAGTGTAGTACAGAGAGAGAGGAAACGGTTTAACCTTGGTGGGTTTTATGAAAGATAATGAAACTGAAACTTGGTCTTAGTTTTTCAACTGAAAATTTTTGTTGATTTGGGTTGATTTCAAAATAAGCCCACAGTGGTTCACTAATTATAAGTCGAAAAAAGTACATCTCTCTTTATCTCTCTCATTTTGTAAATAGGTAAGTCATAAATTTTATGTTACTGTAGGTCTGACTCAACTCAAAATTTTTCATTAAAAGTTGAGACTGTCTTTCAGTCTAGAGTTCTTGAGTGAACTGGTCTGTGATGTTCACTGTTAAAACTGTAAGTGACACTTCCACACCCAGGGCATCATACTGAGTCCATTTGGTTAGAAATTCAAGAAGTACTTTTTAGATAGTCTTCTGTACTGTAGATATCTATGTTCTTGTGGTGCAATTTATTTTATTGTTAACTTCCTGTCTGGAGGTTTACTGGAAAGATATCAGTTTATACTCCCATTATAAAAGGTCTGTGAGCAACTATTGGGTCTAAGGCTTCGTTCACATGCAATGTCTATTTTCTATTTTCTATTTTCGGTATGTCTTATGATCACGCTCTGTGCCCTGAACATCCCGCGGCGTAATTACTGGCAGCGCGAGCCAGTTACTTATAAGAAGCCAGTAATTACGCCGCGGGATATTCAGGGCACAGAGCGTGATCATAAGACATACCGAAAATAGAAAATAGAAAATAGACATTGCATGTGAACGAAGCCTTATATATCAGTACCTATGTATATTTAAAATTTAATAAATCACATGCACACTTATGTTTGCTGGCATGCTCGTGTGCACGTAAACTCCCACTTTAAGTTTCTTGGTGGCTGGTACCTATCAGTGCCTTAAATCACACCTCTATCTTAAGTAGGATGGGTCATCTCGAAATGTTTATGTCAAATATTACATTGTCAGATCAATCTAATAGAGACTGCGTATAGGAATTTGAATTATTTAAGTGTTTTATAAAATCTATCCCTACTCCCTGAACGTAATCTGTCTCTGTTTCTAATTTTAGGTTAGTGTGCTTTAGTAGCGATAGCATCGATTGTGATATGGAAGAAAAAAAATTTTTTATATGAGAGAAATGAAAGTGATTGTGAAACTTAATCATGTCTTTGTACATTTTCAGGCCAGTCTGGTTTAGGCAAGTCCACCCTCATCAACACCTTATTCCTCACAGACCTCTACAGCGCAGACTACCCAGGGCCCTCCTACAGGATAAAGAAAACAGTGCAGGTACTGGAGGGCTTAATACTTACAGTAGTCATAAGAATTGTCTCAGTAGTCTCAATAACCCTAACAGTACATAAGTGAAAGGTGCAGCAGAAAAGGTATGCAGAGTTTTATGAATAGCAGACAAATCTGTAAACGCGTGAACCTTAGAAGATTGTTTTTACCAAAATGAACTGAAACAGAAGCATTTATGGTGAAGAGCAAACGCTTGATGCAGTGAAAATTCAAGTGACTGTTCTTTATATCAATATTGTACACTCTGGAAAAAAAAAACAGAATTTTATTATTGTTAATATTATTTTTATTTAATTTTGTTATTTTTTCTTCAGGTTGAGACAACGCAGGTCCTACTGAAGGAGGGAGGTGTCCAGTTACGTCTCACAGTGGTGGACACCCCTGGGTTTGGGGATGCAGTGGACAACAGTAACTGGTATGACTTAAGACTTGAATGAAACCAAGTAGGATGTCCTGTCTTGTCTTAGGAAGACACCTGGTGGAAATACTTGCTGTTGTTGGGGCACTTTGTTACACTCACTTTGTTTGTAACACAGGTCTTCCATTTACCAGAATTAATTGTTGTCGATACTCTTATATATTTTATNAGTTGTACACTAATCTTTTGATTGGCGAATGAATGAACACTTTAATTGACCAGCCTTGAATGGACTGTATATAAAAGTAAGGAGAAAAATGGTCACTGAGGTCTGCTTCTAAAAAAATTAAGACCACAGATATCAGAACAAAATTTTTGGTGTACTTCCTTTCAATTCAGGATAAATTCAGACTACTTGTCTGCTAAAACAATATAACTTTGTCTAAAATAGTAGCCATTTCTTGCTTAAAATTGTATAAAAGGCATGTAATATTTCATTTAAATGGTCTAGTGATGGTTTGTCTTGGGTCAAACTACACTAAAGAATTTGGGTCTTAATAGTCCAGACCATCTTTTGGTGTTAAGTTCCTTAGTGAAAAGGGGCCCCAGGTGATGGGGAAACCTTCTGCCATACAAAGGACGAAATGCAAAATACGTGAAATATGTATCTCATGATTTATAACGCCAGATGTATGATTCACCATTGCATGGCATAGAGGACTGCAGCAGCCCTGTATATGAGACCTGGGGCATGTTTTCTCTTCAATATTTTGTGGCTTTTCTTACAAGAATGGCTGCTTTCATAGCTAATATCTGTTTGAGAGCCAGTTTTGTTTTTGGTCAGATGTTAGCCATGAGTGGTGTTGGAACAGAGATTGCATGAACGTGAAGTGCTTGGTTGTGGTGTGTCACCTTAGCTTGTCTTGATAAATTTGTACAAAAAAAAAGATGCTCAAAAGGACTTTGCTCTTAATCTGCAAGTAACAGCTGCATATCTGAAATGCACACTTGACTATTTTTTAAATATATTTTGCAGTTTAAGCCTTGTGCCCACCAACATAATTCTGAATTTTTCAAGTGTGTGTGTGTGTTAAAGGTGAAAAAGCTTTGGTTTAACCTTGGCTGAGCTAAATTGAAACTCTCTGGAATGTTGTGATTTTGCTGTGAAAAATGTCCCAGTGATTCATGTGAATAGGTGATTTATAACAGGGCTCTATTGAAATAGAAATCTGTGTATGCTTTATTTTCAGCATGTGCTGGTAATAGGGGTTTAATGTGGGAAAATTGCTTTCTAATGCATTGTAAATTACACTGTAGTTAGCAAAATGAAATCAAAGTTTTTTTTCTTCTTTCTTAACATGCTTTTCTTTGTGGTTCTTGTGAAAGAGAAAAGATTGGAAAACTTATGAGTAAGGCATTGCAGTGTATTTGTCTGTTGGATAGAATGGTATTAGGTGTTTTATTTTCTGTAGATGATCAGTTTTGTTATAAAAATATGAAATGCAAATCTTATAGACAAATGGAGCACAGGTATAAAGATATATTTTGATTCAACTTGTAACAACCTCTGTTGGCTTGAATTGGATACCTACAAATATTAAGTTTGGCCTGGGTAAATTATTTAGGAGACTTGAGAGGTAGTTTTTTCTGCCACATACCATGGCACTACTGTGTTATTTGTACCTGAGATGTGTTGTTCACATGGAATAAGTAAAGATACATATACACATAGAGTGATATCAGAAAGAAGATGGATTTTACTTGGGCGGTGTTAGAAGTGAAATACACACTGTTTGTGTGAAAAGAGAAGGTGTGGAAAGACCGTACCATGGTCTGTGTTTATGTGATTAAAAAGGCATTGTACATGTGAAGTCCATTAAAATTTTGTTCTCTCTACCCCCCCCCCCCCTTTTAATATAAGAGAGAGGGGGGGGCATTGTATCAAGCCATTTGGGTTGTTGAAAATGGTAGAATTGATTAAATGGTGAGATATACTTTAAAAGTTGAGACTGTCTTTCAGTCTAGAGTTCTTGAGTGAACTGGTCTGTGATGTTCACTGTTAAAACTGTAAGTGACACTTCCACACCCAGGGCATCATACTGAGTCCATTTGGTTAGAAATTCAAGAAGTACTTTTTAGATAGTCTTCTGTACTGTAGATATCTATGTTCTTGTGGTGCAATTTATTTTATTGTTAACTTCCTGTCTGGAGGTTTACTGGAAAGATATCAGTTTATACTCCCATTATAAAAGGTCTGTGAGCAACTATTGGGTCTAATATATCAGTACCTATGTATATTTAAAATTTAATAAATCACATGCACACTTATGTTTGCTGGCATGCTCGTGTGCACGTAAACTCCACTTTAAGTTTCTTGGTGGCTGGTATCTATCAGTGCCTTAAATCACACCTCTATCTTAAGTAGGATGGGTCATCTCGAAATGTTTATGTCAAATATTACATTGGATCAATCTAATAGAGACTGCGCATAGGAATTTGAATTATTTAAGTGTGTTATAAAATTTATCCCTACTCCCTGAACGTAATCTGTCTCTGTTTCTAATTTTAGGTTAGTGTGATTTAGTAGCGATAGCATCGATTGTGATATGGAAGAAAAAAATATTTTTTTATATGAGAGAAATGAAAGTGAAAGTGAAACATAATCATGTCTTTGTACATTTTCAGGCCAGTCTGGTTTAGGCAAGTCCACCCTCATCAACACCTTATTCCTCACAGACCTCTACAGCGCAGACTACCCAGGGCCCTCCTACAGGATAAAGAAAACAGTGCAGGTACTGGAGGGCTTAATACTTACAGTAATCATAAGAATTGTCTCAGTAGTCTCAATAACGCTAACAGTAAATAAGTGAAAGGTGCAGCAGAAAAGGTATGCAGAGTTTTATGAATAGCAGACAGATCTGCAAATGTGTGAACCTTAGAGGATTTTTTTTTACCAAAATGAATTGAAACAAAAGCATTTATAGAAAGGTGAAGAGCAAACGCTTGATGCAGTGAAAATTCAAGTGACTGTTCTTTATATCAATATTTTACAGTCTGGAAAAAAAAACAGAAATTTATTATTGTTAATACTATTTTTATTTAATTTTGTTATTTTTTCTTTAGGTTGAGACAACGCAGGTCCTACTGAAGGAGGGAGGGGTCCAGTTACGTCTCACAGTGGTGGACACCCCTGGCTTTGGGGACGCAGTGGACAACAGTAACTGGTATGACTTTTAAGACTTAAAAGATTTGAATGAAACAAAGTAGGATTTCCTGTCTTGTCTTAGGAAGACGCCTGGTGGAAATACTTGCTGTTGTTGGGGCACTTTGTTACACTTACTTTGTTTGTAACACAGGTCTTCCATTTACCAGAATTAATTGTTGTCGATACTCTTATATATTTCATTTATTCAAAGTTATCTTTGGTGTATCAAATCAGGTTAAAGCTGAAAAAGAATGTGCAGTACAAAAGCTGGCAGTCTGCTAAAAAGTTGCTTGAAAATTGTTTTTCAAAAATTTTCTCTGCCAGAAGTTCTTGAGCTTGACTAGAAACATTTGTAGTCAAGAAAATTCAAAACCTTTGGCTTGTTTAGTACCTAAACATATATACTCACATTCACAAATGAAAAAAGATACTTGAAAAATCAGGATGTTAAAACTAATCCAAAACTGTTTATCTTTCCAGTTGGCAGCCAGTAACAGACTACATAGACAGTAAATATGAAGAATACCTGAATGCGGAATCCAGGGTGAATAGAAAAACCATGCCTGATAACAGAGTGCACTGCTGTCTGTATTTTATAACCCCATCAGGACATGGGTGAGTTGATGAAAAGAGAGGGAGAGAAAGGGGGGGGATAAAGGGGAGGTAGGGAGGGAACAGATGGAGGGGAAATAAGAGTGAAAGAGGAGAGAAAGGACTGTTAAAAACCACTTTTTTTTTTTAGAGTGGGAAGGACAAAGAAGAGAAGGCAAATCATGTCTAGTAAAAGAGTACTTTTCTCTCTGTACTTCAAGTGATCAAAACAGAACTGTTAACATTGAGAATGTAAAACAAGATGTGTTATCAATCTTAACTGTAAAATTGAAATATTGTGTTAAGCATGCCATAAAAGCAACCAAAAAGTGTCAAGTTGTTTCAAAGGTTATCATGAACAGAACTAAAACAATCTCAACTTTCTCATAGTTTATGTAATTTTCGCCTTAGGTTCTGCAAAGTTTAAGTAACAGCACTTCTATAATGTACACATGATCAAAATGAAATGTTTATGCTAGAGGGAAGGGAGAAAAAAAGATTGCCCAGTGTTTGTATTTTGCCAAAGTTTATAATCACAGTCACCTATTAGTCTGTTTTAAAAAACATGTAATATTTCATTAAGGATAAAGTATTTCTGGCCTGTGGTATAATTATGGGTATTAAACAAAGAATGATGCGTCTTGTGTTTCAGCTTGAAGCCATTAGATGTTGAATTCATGAAACGCCTCCACGATAAAGTAAACATCATTCCAATGATTGCCAAGGCTGACACAATGACTCCAGATGAATGTAGAGAGTTCAAGAAAACAGTATGTACCCCTCTCTCTCTCTCTCTGTCAAATTTCCATTTTAAATTGAGGCATTTTTGTGATGTATTTGCATATTTTACTAAAAAGTTAGAAGTACAAAAATGCTATCAGTGTCATAAGTAAAAAATAAAGTGTACATCACTCTCTGTTGAAGTTTGAAAAAATTAATGAACAAATGAAAATAATGATAAATTGCAATTTCAATGTTAATTGTGCTTTTAGATCCTGAATGAAATTGCTCAGCACAAGATCAAAATTTACGAGTTCCCAGAATGTGACGATGAGGAAGAAAATAAGTTGCAGAAAAAACTCAAGGTAATAATTGTGAATTGTTTTTATGATTAAACTGAGTTTGAACATTTTCTTGTTTCAGCCAATCTTAAAAATAATAATTCAGGCAAAGGTCATATTTTCAACAAATCATTGACATTTCATACAAGGAATTTGGTTTTTCTTATTTCTTTCCTTGGTGCAGTAAATAGATTAATGAAGATGCATGTGTTCAAATGATAGGCTTTTTGTACCAAGCACATTTTTTAGCCCACTGGCCATAAGCAGAGACAGTGGTCAGTAACTGAAAAAATAGCCAAAAAATTGTAATGTCACAGACTGAGACATGATTTAAATGACCTCAAGTTCAGGGCCACCGAGTCATTTCTTCTTAGTTTTTCTCACAACCCAAAATCATGACTGAGAGATATCAATTAACAAGTAAATAGAGAGTAAGAAAGATAGATGGATTTATGCTTTCAATTTTTTTTTCTTTAGGATCGAGTTCCATTTGCAGTTGTGGGCAGCAATACATTGGTAAGCGTAGGAGGGAAAACGGTGCGAGCAAGGCAGTACCCATGGGGTATTGTGGAAGGTAGGTCATGTGACAGGATGTCAAAAAATGGGATGATGGGAAGTAAAAATCTTCATAATGTTCAGTTTAACTTTGTATTTTCTATAATTTGTATGATTTTTTTTTTTTTTGAAAGAGCCAATGGGAAGATGTAGATACTTTCTCTGATACTGATCTTCAGTAATAACTATACTTACAATTAAGTGGATTTTCCTTCTTTTATTTTTCTTGTCGGCCTTTTGTAAGATGGATAATTTTTTAAAAGGACAGGTCATCATGTTATAGGTGTAATATATCATGCACTAGTAAATATGATACACAAACATTAACATTTTTTTCTGTTTTCAGTGGAGAACTTGGAACACAATGACTTCCTGGCCCTGAGAAATATGTTGGTCAGGTACTAAATTAGATCAGACTGATTGAATTTTGCACAATGTAATATCTAGAAGAGATATTTGAAATTCTAGATTTTAATAGCAAAAGTTGATTGATGAAATGAGAAAAACTAAATACAAAGTTAATGGGAGATACATTAGGTGAACATTTAGTTGAAGTTGTTACACTTTGAATTTTTATTTTGAAATATTCTGCCTATAATAAACAATTACAGAAAGAAGCTGTTGCAAGCCGGAGTCACACGACATAAGACAAATAATGTTCACATTCTTAAATATGTTTGTATAAGTAACTACACTGATAAATTTGTGTGGCCATCATCTCATATTTTATCAGTAGTTAAATTGGTACACATTATGATGCCTTGTCTGTAGTGCATTCATTGCTCTAATTATCTTCTTTGACCTAATTGCAGGACACATCTCCATGACTTGAAGGATGTCACAAACAATGTTCATTACGAAAATTACCGCTATAACAAACTGGCTTCCGTGGCAACCAAGGGCAAAGAGAAGGCTGTTGGATCAAAGTAAGTGGAACAGTATCAGCCTCTGTCTGGTCACTTGGTTAAGGCAGATAATTGTACTACCTGAACTCAGAATGAGGCTAATGGTGTTTGTTTGTATACTCTTCTGGCTAAGCCAAGTGACCTAGTTTTTATCAAATTGGCGTGTAATTTGCAATTATTTGTCAAAAGTCAACCGTATAATTTTTCTTGACAGATTATTTAGAAAAGTAGTTTATGTATAACATTTGAGAAATACTCATTTGTTAGTTTAAATCAAGCTTATGTCCAATAGAGAAGGCTTATTTTTGGTGTTTTATTTCAGTCAGTTTTCTTGAAATGGTTATTCGAACAAATCTGAATTTTTGCCCAAATTATTGTCTTGTTATGCATTGCATTTGATTTTAAAGTAACAAATACTAACATTTTCTTCTTCTGTTGGTGGTTTTGATATTCCAGTCTTTCTTTCTTTTAATACGAATGATGTTACCAAATAGATGCAGCCTTGCTGTCCCTGAAATTTTCCAAAATTTGAATTATTTTTGGTCCACATTTTAATTTGAAGAAGTGGCGTTAATATTAAAGATAATGTGTTTGTTAAAATTGATAGCTGTTGTATATTAAAGGTACTGCCTTACTGGATATTTGAAACACGTGTGCAGTTACATTTTGTGAAAACCCCTGGGGGGGGGGGGGGGGAAGAGTGTGATAAAAATGAACTTATATATGACTGTAAAAAGATTATGAATTAAATCTTTTCATTTCACCAAATCATACTTTGCTTGTTCCCTATCCTTTCACTTCTTGTCTGTGTATTTTAGGGAACTAAACTTAGAAACAGCTGAAGATGAAGATTCAGGCGAAAAGTATTACTCAGTTTTCTTTTCCCTTCATAAATATGGCATATAAACTTCAACGTTATCCTGTAGAGTTATGGGAAAATTATAATGAAGAACCCAATTACCCTTCCTCCTGTTGAATATTAATGGTGATAAACTTCTTAATGGGATACATAGAGGGAAATATGTAAACTGGCTTAGTTTCCCTTACATATAATTGCCATGGTATGATTAGAATTGTAGTGAAAATATAAGTACACTATTTCCTGCACTCACCATATATCTCCCAATATTTGTCAGTAATGTTGACACCCAAAATTTGTAAATGTGGAGCTCACCATTATCCTCTCTTCTGCTTATATTCGTCCTTATGAACATTTCATAACCAGTTTTTAAAGAGCAAAAATCACACCTGATGCCCTTTTGGGTGTTCAATAAACATTGCTCATTTTAACTTTTCATACCTTTCCTGACTTCTCCAGTCTTAACCAACTTCTTAAATATTAGTGTTGTTACCTTTCCTACATAAAAGGTTTTTAACTAAGTAAACATTTATTGGTTTTAAGGGATAATAGAATTTACCAATTTGGCATGGGAGTATTCATTCTAGGCAAATGAAATCTGGTTCAATTGAAACTACTGCAACGGATGGAAGTAAAAATGTATTCTGGTTTCATAAAGTCAACTAGTCATTTATCAGAAAATGTAACTTGCACAAGAAAAGATTCTTAATTTTGATTAAATCAGATTTGCCCCAAGATTTGCCTTGTATGAAGTGTCCTATGCTTTTTTATTTTATAGTTGTCTTAACACAATGAAGGCGTTTTGTAACCAGAGATGTGAAATGCAATACTTTTTCTCTGATGTATAAACGTAGAGGGTATCTATATCCAACTTCTGATCTCTAGAAGACGTGTTTGAACTTGTCTGTCTTAAGAGGGATTTTTGTCTGAAGAGACAAAAATTTAGATAATTATTTCAACATTATGTGCTTGTTTGGAAGCTTCAACTTTTTCCTTTCATCAGAATGTGTTGTCTGCCACAAATTTCGAATATTTTACAGTTTAGGCTTAGATGACATTGCTAGAGTACCAATTTTTTTCATTAACCAGGGATTTGATAGTGTTAGCTAAACAGGAGCTTACTTTGAAACTTTCTGTTCGCAGCTGAAATTCAGTAGACTAACAAATGTAAATTTAAAAATTGGTGAAGGTTGCTTATAGTTGTCCCGTTTCTTGACTTACAACTCGTCAAATTATTTATCAGTCATGGGGTTACTACATAATGTAATGTTAGATTGTAAAGTGATGTCATCTCATCCTGAACCTGGGCAGGTTGAAGTTTGTGAATAAACAAGCTTCGACTGTCATTACACTTAATAGGGTGGAAAGATAGCAACTCAACAGAGAAAAACAAAAAGGGTATGTGGTGAAAGACCTACTTAAGGTCAAATTCTGAGGGGAATAAAAGAGAAATTNGGTGTATCAAATCAGGTTAAAGCTGAAAAAGAATGTGCAGTACAAAAGCTGGCAGTCTGCTAAAAAGTTGCTTGAAAATTGTTTTTCAAAAATTTTCTCTGCCAGAAGTTCTTGAGCTTGACTAGAAACATTTGTAGTCAAGAAAATTCAAAACCTTTGGCTTGTTTAGTACCTAAACATATACACCCCTTCACAAATGAAAAAAGATATTTGAAAAATCAAGATGTTAAAACTAATCCAAAAACTGTTTATCTCTTCAGTTGGCAGCCAGTAACAGACTACATAGACAGTAAATATGAAGAATACCTGAATGCGGAGTCCAGGGTGAATAGAAAAACCATGCCTGATAACAGAGTGCACTGCTGTCTGTATTTTATAACCCCATCAGGACATGGGTGAGTTGATGAAAAGAGAGGGAGAGAAAGGGGGGTGGGTAAAGGGGAGGTAGGACGGTAACAGAGGGAGGGGAAATGGAAATAAGAGTGAAAGAGGAGAGAAAGGACTGACTGTTAAAAACCACTTTTTTTTTTGAGAGAGTGGGAAGGACAAAGAAGAGAAGGCAAATCATGTCTAGTAAAAGAGTACTTTTCTCTCTGTACTTCAAGTGATCTAAACAGAACTGTTAACATTGAGAATGTAAAACAAGATGTGTTATCAATCTTAACTGTAAAATTGAAATATTGTGTTAAGCATGCCATAAAAGCAACCAAAATGTGTCAAGTTGTTTCAAAGGTTATCATGAACAGTACTAAAACAATCTCAACTTTCTCATAGTTTATGTAATTTTCGCCTTAAGTTCTGCAAAGTTTAAGTAACAGCACTTCTATAATGTACACATGATCAAAGTGAAATGTTTATGCTAGAGGGAAGGGAGAAAAAAAGATTGCCCGGTGTTTGTATTTTGCCAAAGTTTATAATCACAGTTACCTATTAGTCTGTTTTAAAAAACATGTAATATTTCATTAAGGATAGAGTAATTCTGGCCTGTGGTATAATTATGGGTATTAAACAAAGAATGATGCGTCTTGTGTTTCAGCTTGAAGCCATTAGATGTTGAATTCATGAAACGCCTCCACGATAAAGTAAACATCATTCCAATGATTGCCAAGGCTGACACAATGACTCCAGATGAATGTAGAGAGTTCAAGAAAACAGTATGTACCTCTCTCTCTGTGTCAAATTTCCATTTTAAATTGAGGCATTTTTGTGATGTATTTGCATATTTTACTAAAAAGTTAGAAGTACAAAAATGCTATCAAGTAAAAATAAAGTGTACATCACTCTCTGTTGAAGTTTGAAAAAATTAATGAACAAATGAAAATAGTGATAAATTGCAATTTCAATGTTAATTGTGCTTTTAGATCCTGAATGAAATTGCTCAGCACAAGATCAAAATTTACGAGTTCCCAGAATGTGACGATGAGGAAGAAAATAAGTTGCAGAAAAAACTCAAGGTAATAATTGTGAATTGTTTTTATGATTAAACTGAGTTTGAACATTTTCTTGTTTCAGCCAATCTTAAAAATAATAATTCAGGCAAAGGTCATATTTTCAACAAATCGTTGACATTTCATACAAGGAATTTGGTTTTTCTTATTTCTTTCCTTGGTGCAGTAAATAGATTAATGAAGATGCATGTGTTCAAATGATAGGCTTTTTGTACCAAGCACATTTTTTAGCCCACTAGCCATAAGCAGAGACAGTGGTCAGTAACTGAAAAAATAGCCAAAAAATTGTAATGTCACAGACTGAGACATGATTTAAATGACCTCAAGTTCAGGGCCACTGAGTCATTTCTTCTTAGTTTTTCTCACAACCCAAAATCATGACTGAGAGATATCAATTAACAAGTAAATAGAGTGAAAGAAAGATAGATGGATTAATGCTTTCAATTTTTTTTTTCTTTAGGATCGAGTTCCATTTGCAGTTGTGGGCAGCAATACATTGGTAAGCGTAGGAGGGAAAACGGTGCGAGCAAGGCAGTACCCATGGGGTATTGTGGAAGGTAGGTCATGTGACAGGATGTCAAAAAATGGGATGATGGGAAGTAAAAATCTTCATAATGTTCAGTTTAACTTTGTATTTTCTATAATTTGTATGATTTTTTTTTTTTTGAAAGAGCCAATGGGAAGATGTAGATACTTTCTCTGATACTGATCTTCAATAATAACTATACTTACAATTAAGTTCCTTCTTTTATTTTTCTTGTTGGCCTCTTGTAAGATGGATAATTTTTTTAAAAGGACAGCTCATCAGGTTAAAGGTATAATATATCATACATTAGTAAATATGACACAAAAACATTAACATTTTTTTCTGTTTTCAGTGGAGAACTTGGAACACAATGACTTCCTGGCCCTGAGAAATATGTTGGTCAGGTACTAAATTAGATCAGACTGATTGAATTTTGCACAATGTAATATCCAGAAGAGATATTTGAAATTCTAGATTTTAATAGCAAAAGTTGGTTGATGAAATGAGAAAAACTAAATATAAAGTTAACGGGAGATAAATTAGGTATACATTTAGTTGAAGTTGTTACACTTTGAATTTTTATTTTGAAATATTCTGCCTATAATAAACAATTACAGAAAGAAGCTGTTGCAAGCCGGAGTCACACGACATAACACAAATAATGTTCACATTCTTAAATATGTTTGTATAAGTAACTACACTGATAAATTTGTAATGCCATCATCTCATATTTTATCAGTAGTTGAATTGGTACACATTATGATGCCTTGTCTGTAGTGCATTCATTGCTCTAATTATCTTCTTTGACCTAATTGCAGGACACATCTCCATGACTTGAAGGATGTCACAAACAATGTTCATTACGAAAATTATCGCTATAACAAACTGGCTTCCGTGGCAACCAAGGGCAAAGAGAAGGCTGTTGGATCAAAGTAAGTGAAACAGTATCAGCCTCTGTCTGGTCACTTGGTTAAGGCAGATAATTGTACTACCTGAACTCAAAATGAGGCTAATGGTGTTTGTTTGTATGCTCTTCTGGCTAAGCCAAGTGACCTAGTTTTTATCAAATTGGTGTGTAATTTGCAATTATTTGTCAAAAGTCAACCATATAATTTTTCTTGACAGATTATTTAGAAAAGTAGTTTATGTATAACATTTGAGAAATACTCATTTGTTAGTTTAAATCAAGCTTATGTCCAATAGAGAAGGCTTATTTTTGGTGTTTTATTTCAGTCAGTTTTCTTAAAATGGTTATTCGAACAAATCTGAATTTTTGCCCAAATTATTGTCTTGTTATGCATTGCATTTTCATTTTAAAGTAACAAATACTAACATTTTCTTCTTCTGTTGGTGGTTTTGATATTCCAGTCTTTCTTTCTTTTAATACGAATAATGTTACCAAATAGATGCAGCTTTGCTGTCCCTGAAATTTTCCAAAATTTGAATGTAATTTTGGTCCACATTTTAATTTGAAGAAGTGGTGTTTATATTAAAAATAATGTGTTTGTTAAAATTGATAGCTGTTGTATATTTAAGGTACTTCCTTACTGGATATTTGAAACAGGTGTGCAGTTAGATTTTGTGAAAACCCCTGGGGGGGAAAAAGAGTGTGATAAAAATGAACTTATATATGACTGTAAAAAGATTATGAATTAAATCTTTTCATTTCACCAAATCATACTTCGCTTGTTCCCTATCCTCTCAGATCTTGTCTGTGTATTTTAGGGAGCTAAACTTAGAAACAGCTGAAGATGAAGATTCAGGCGAAAAGTATTACTCAGTTTTCTTTTCCCTTCATAAATATGGCATATAAACTTCAATGTTATCCTGTAGAGTTATGGGAATATTATAATGAAGAACCCAATTACCCTTCCTCCTGTTGAATATTAATGGTGATAAACTTCTTAATGGGATACATAGAGGGAAATATGTAAACTGGCTTAGTTTCCCTTACATGTAATTGCCATGGTATGATTAGAATTGTAGTGAAAATATAAGTACACTATTTCCTGCACTCACCATTATCTCCCAATATTTGTCAGTAATGTTGACACCCAAAATTTGTAAATGTGGAGCTCACCATTATCCTCTCTTCTGCTTATATTCGTCCTTATGAACATTTCATAACCAGTTTTTAAAGAGCAAAAATCACACCTGATGCCCTTTTGGGTGTTCAATAAACATTGCTCATTTTAACTTTTCATACCTTTCCTGACTTCTCCAGTCCTAACCAACTTCTTAAATATTAGTGTTGTTACCTTTCCTACATATAAGGTTTTTAACTAAGTAAACATTTATTGGTTTTGAGGGATAATAGAATTTACCAATTTGGCATGGGAGTATTCATTCTAGGCAAATGAAATCTGGTTCAATTGAAACTACTGCAACAGATGGAAGTAAAAATGTATTCTGGTTTCATAAAGTCAACTAGTCATTTATCAGAAAATGTAACTTGCACAAGAAAAGATTCTTAATTTTGATTAAATCAGATTTGCCCCAAGATTTGCCTTGTATGAAGTGCCCTATGCTTTTTTATTTTATAGTTGTCTTAACACAATGAAGGCATTTTGTAACCAGAGATGTGAGATGCAATACCTTTTCTCTGATGTATAAACGTAGAGGGTATCTATATCCAACTTCTGATCTCTAGAAGACGTGTTTGAACTTGTCTGTCTTTAGAGGGATTTTTGTCTGAAGAGACAAAAATTTAGATAATTATTTCAACATTATGTGCTTGTTTGGAAGCTTCAACTTTTTCCTTTCATCAGAATGTGTTGTCTGCCACAAATTTCGAATATTTTGCGGTTTAGGCTTAGATGACATTGCTAGAGTACCAATTTTTTTCATTAACCAGGGATTTGATAGTGTTAGCTAAACAGGAGCTTACTTTGAAACTTTCTGTTCGCAGCTGAAAATTCAGTAGACTAACAAATGTAAATTTAAAAAATTGGTGAAGGTTGCTTATAGTTGTCCTGTTTTTTGACTTACAACTCATCAATTTATTTATCAGTCATGGGGTTACTACATAATGTAATGTTAGATTGTAAAGTGATGTCATCTCATCCTGAACCTGGGCAGGTTGAAGTTTGTGAATAAACAAGCTTCAACTGTCATTACACTCAACAGGGTGGAAAGATAGCAACTCTTTGTAAACAGAGAAAAACAAAAAGGGTATGTGGTGAAAGACCTACTTAAGGTCAAATTCTGAGGGGAATAAAAGAGAAACTAGAGAGTTGTAATGTAACTGTTATATTGTAGGGAAGGAGGTGAAGCCCAGAATGGTGAAGGTGCCGAGGAGGGGACCAAGTGGGACGTGTACGGCATTTTTCTAACAATTATTTGTATATATAGATAATATATGTACTGTATATCTGTTCTTATGACTGTGTAGCTGTGCTCAACGCCTGTGCTTGTCTATAGCTTGCGATGCTTGCCAAAATTCATTCCACTTGCTTGGTTCTGGTTTTACTGACATACATTTGGAGAAAATAAATTGTTACAAAAACTTATCAAAACTGCTTAAAAAAGGCTCTTCTGATTTAGTTGCTTTTTCTGGAATATGAAATTCAGAAAGACTGTTGCTTCAAGATATGGGAAATTATTGTGACCCCTTCAAATTTTGGGGAGTTTTCTGTGATTTTGGCAAGATGCACTGCAAATTACCATGCTGCAACTAATTAGATGATTGCAGTAACTGACATGGTGATAGAACTTCATGTATTTGGTTCCTTATCCAAAGGGCAAGGGGTTCTTAAAATATGCATGTTATGGTTTATACTTATATGTATATATTGATATATATTTATATTTTAATTTTTTTATGTCATATATGATGCAAAGGTGTCTATATACATGTAGTTTAATAAGTTATGAATTTAACTGGGTTTTATGTTTAATGAACAGAACACTGTCTGTATGTTTATCCATATTCTGGGACTGTCCACATTGGGGCCTTGCAATAATACATAACTGAAGAACTAAGCGTGCACTCACAATAAATCTATTGGACTAGCTTCTGCTCACTAACTACACAAGGACTCTTATGTACAGAATGCTATCAGATTGACAAGCCTCCTCATTTCCATAGTACTTGTATAATCACCAACTTTTCTGTATTCTATTCAATGCCGGAAGGAGGCATGTTAATCTGATTGCATTTAGCAAGAGTCCCTGTGGAGTTAGTACGTAGTAGCTAGTGCGTTATATTTAATGTGAATGCGCCCTAATACTCTGTTTCATTTAAAGTTTGCTTGAATCTTTGACTTTGTTTTACTTCCAATACAAGTTCAGGTCTGTACATTTGACAGCCCTTGCTGCCCATTGTCTTTTCATTATTACCGTTATTTTGTATATGTGTAGCAAGTTACCATTTCTTTTTTTAATGAGTAGAAAATGCTTGTTATGCATGTATATATTATTTAATATTTAAGTTACATTCAGACTGGTTTTAAACTGTAACTGGCACAGGCCCAATGCCCTTAAAATAAATCAGTCTGAGTACTAAGGAGAGGGGGTGTATTATTATATTTAAAAACATGTTATACCTTCTTTAATAATAGTTTCTATTATGGATGATTCTGATTTTAGTTGGTTGCTGATCCTTTCTTTTGTTCTGTCAGTTGTACCTTCATATTCATAACAAATTGATATGTACTCATGCCCATTTATGAAATTATATACTTGTCAGCCCAATGTACTGGTTCCAACTTACTGAAGCCTAAAATGCATAGCATTTCACTAGTTTTGACAGGCATTGGTTTTCTGATACATTCGAAAAATATTTACACCAATTTATATTGGTGTAAGCTACAATTTTCTGAAATTCACTTAGTTTTATGCATCAGTGCTTGAGCCTTTTCGCCCCAAGTTTTTAGATTATAAAAGATATTCAGTTGACATTTTTGAAGGTCTTTAATTGACCTTACTGACATAAAGAAAATGAAATTAGTTTCTTGCTTTGAATTTTGATGGCAAGCTTTTTTTTTTTCCATCTGCTTATTGATTTGAAAAATAATTCTCAATTTCACAATGTGTCCATTTGTGTAATAGTCCCAGTCTGTCATCACTTGTGATTTGCATACTGTTTGGTTGCTTGTCAACTGCCCTGTTTATCTTTTATTATATTGTTCATGCATACAATGTACTTTATAGACAGGCTTGATAGTCAAAGGCATGTGCTTGCTGTTTGAATCAGTTCATTGTTCAAAAAATATTTTAATTGGTTTTTAAAAATATACTTACAGGAGTGTGTTTTTCCATAAAAGTCTTATCAATTTTGCATTAACTCTTGTTTGCTTGCCTTTTTTTCTAACAAGTTTTTCCTTACAATATCTTCTGGCATCAAGGAGGCATTTGTTGGGTGTTACTGTCAAGGTGTAATGATACACTTATAGGAAGTATTTCTTTTTTGTTCTCAGAGACCCAATCACACAGATGGAGGAAGAGAAGAAAGAACACGAGACGAAGATGAAGAAGATGGAGGCCGAGATGGAGCAGGTGTTTGAGATGAAAGTCAAAGAAAAGAAACAGAAGCTGAAGGATTCAGAGGCAGACGTGAGGAAATTTACTGTCACCTTAGCATTATATTATCATGATTGATAAATTTTAAGCACAGTAATCATTTGCTTGTACTTTTAGGCACCCTCATTGAAGCTTGGTTGATAATTTATAGACATGTTGTCCGGGCTCAGTGAATCTTATTTATCAGTGATAAATCAATCTAACTGATTAGGATTTTCAGCATAATTTAGTTTTGTTTCTGTAGTTTTTAGACACCATCCTTTTCAAGGGATTGATAGATGTAAGACAGTGTGCATGTGGGTCACTCTTTTTGTCTCAGCAAGAAATATACGAGAAAATTATCAATGAAAACTTGTGGAAAATATGAGACCTGTCCACATTACTGTTAAAATTGCATCAATGTTTTCCCTTGTTGGTTTTAGCTGCAAAGGAGAGCTGAACAAATGAAGAAAAGTCTGGAACAGCAGGAGAAAGAGATAGAGGAAAGAAGAAAACAGTTTGAAAAAGAAAAAGGCGAATGGGAGGAAGTGATAAGACAAGAAGAAGCAAGGCGAAGATCACTCGAGAATTCTAAGGAGTAAGTAGTGTAGTCCCAAAGTTGCCCCAAATGTGAGCCGCCATAAGATTGATCCATGCTATGTTTGAGAAGTGGCTATAGTATATTATTGTGAGAAGTGAAATTAAAACGGTATCGCTTGCATCAGTGCAACATGATTCAAAATTGACCTTGAGGTTTTGCTTTTAGAATGCTTTAAGCATAGCTTTTTACCAAAGAATTGATCTCAGTTGGTAATTCTGTCATATTACCTGTTATTTAATTACAAATGTGCATTTCTTCAGTATTAACATTGTTTTTGAAAAAGATAAATTATAATACTTTTTTGTTAACTGTTAATATATTTGTAAAAATTGATAATTACTAATGATGTATGCCATAGACATTAAAACAATATATTTGTAGTCTTTGGGGTGATTTTTCTTCATTTGCATGTATTTAGCTGTTAAAGCCAATTGCCTGTATGTGTAGATTTAGCACTGTCACTTTTTGTAGTATTTACGCATGCACATTTTGCACAATAATGCCTTGTAGCTGTAGTAGTAGTAGTAGTATTCGCAGTAGTGTTTGTAGAGGTAGTTCCTTGGTAGTTTTAGTTACTCAGTAGAAGAAACTATTTGGTTGCGTGTCACTGTTTTCTGCCATAGATACCTGCAGACTTTATGTAGCAAACCTTATTTGGTGTAGTTGTTGTTTTGTTTTGTTTTGTTTTGTTTTGCATTAAATAAGTCAGGATGCCCATTTTTAATAATCAATTCATGAATGCCTTATTATTTGATTTGGGATTGAGTGGACACATTGGTTTGCTCATAAGATAAGCTCTGCACTTGTCTTTATGCTAAGCTGTGTCTCTATGCTAATCTGTGCTTAGATTAAAACAAAAACAAAAAAATCATAACGATAAAATAATAAGAAGAATCTTTAAAAAAAATAAAATTTAAGCACCTTTTAACTGCAATACCAGACACCATAATCAATTCACAAGTGACTTTGTAATATATACAGCACATAACTGGCTAAAATTAATCAGAGTACAACTGTGCTGCCTGATTTGTATGTACTCTTCATATCAATCTTGGCGTTTCTCTTGTAATTTCACTGTGCTTTGCATTGCCTGATATTGTATAATATAGCATCTTAGTCATTTATAGGCATTCCACATAGAAATTCCTGTAACAACCTAGTTTTGTGTGTGCATGTTGTTTGAAAATAGACCTCACTGAAGTTTGGTTAACACCCTTAACAGAAAAAAACTTCATCAGTGAATATAATGTGATAGATGATATTCATGCACATTATTTTTTTGAAGTTTATCTGGATGTTTTTGTTTTAACAAATACAGTGTTGCCAGCTTTTTTTTTTTTTTTCAGTGTCGTAATTGTGAAAAAAAAGGTTATTAATATTTGAAAATTCCCTGCTGTTTTTCATGATTATATGTCCTTAATCATGAAAAACAGCAGGGAATTTTCAACTTTGTGCATGGAGTGAAAGTATCACATTTTGTTTCATTGATGTACAGAACAAAATATTATTTCATCAGAAGTAAAGTCCTTGTTTAATTTTCCTTTCAGAACCATAGACAAGAAAAAAGACCACAAGAAGAAGTCTATCTTCTAAACTTTGTATTCTCTAGAGGAGATAAGTAAGGTGCAGAGGAAAGGCTGTGGCACGGAATGATTAGCCATTATTTTCAAGGCCGTTTGAAGGTCATGCTCATTCAAGATCATTTGAAGGTCACTGACAAGAACATGTGAATTTCATTTCTTTGCCACGGAAATTTTCTCAGTGACACTGTAGGTCATAGTTATAATCTATTGTGTTGTCATCTGGTGGTCATCTTCAACAAAACATCCGATTATGAGGTCTTTTATGGACCATATAACCTGATTTGGTACAGCTGACTGCCATTTAGAGATACTTTAAAAGTCATTGTCATTATTAAAATCCTGTTATTTTCTCCACAGTATAAGATTAATTGAAAATGAAGAGATATTGGATTTATAGTTGATGTGATTGTATAAGACCGGTGTATATTTGCTACATATTCTAATGTATGTGTATATATGCCATGTTCATATACATTGCTCTGTGAGAGACAAGGCTGTGGGCACTTCTTCCTTTGATTTATAAACAGTGATAAATGTCTGTGCTTTATTTGTGTACTGTGTATTTCACAAAGATAAAATTATGATCATCGGAAGAAAATAAAAATGACTCACTTGTCTAAGTCTGGGCTGTCAAAAATTGTTGTAAAGTGAACCTTGTTGATTTCCCCATTATGTAGCCAATAGACCCCTTGCCACAGCCAGCCCTCTGTTTGCCTTAGAGAAGTTTTAACTACGTATAGACTGTTGCTTCAGCAATGTCCATTCAACTTCCATGAACAGTGGTTTAGAAATGGCAGACCTGCTTTTATTATCGATCTGCTGTTATATAGTAATCATAAGTGCTCAGGAAATAACTGAAATTTATTGAATATTTACAGCTTTTATTATGTATATTGCCTGACCCATTGTTCATGATCTGTCAAATAGTTCACTTTGGGGTATTCTGAGATGTTCTTTATTCTGAAAAAATTTGCCAGGAAAGAAGTGGAAATGACATTTTTGTAAAAAAAGAAAATTTGTGTCTGGTACAATGAAGGATGTTATACTATGTTGTATAAAACTGTAATAAAACTGTATAGCACGTGTGTCAAATTTTATGCAGAAACAAACAAAAAACCAAAACAAAAAATATATTTAACAGATAGAGGGGGTCAGTTATTGTAAAAATTCCTACATCAGAAATTTGTTTTGCCAGAGCCACATTCTGTTGTCAGAATGCTCGTTTTTGTCAGGATTTTATCATTGCTATTATTTATTTTTGTAATTCCTTTTTTCTAAGAACAAAAATTTATCAGTTAAAATATAGTTAAATAATATGTTAGGTTTGCATGGTAAAATCACAGAATTCTGAGCATCTTGGAACCCCAGTATGGAGGAATATCGCAGGTTATGGAAGATAGTTGTTAAAACATTTTACTAGTTTTTTGTTATTGGTGTGTCTTTGATTGTAGTAATGTTTTGCATCACATAAAAACAGGTTTTGTATGCCTTAATGTTCTACTGGATTTACTAATTTAAGTTAAGGATAATGCTTAGATTAAAAAAATCGGGTTTGTTCCTATCACTTCTGTTGCCTAACATCTACATATGTGTGTGAAACCATTGCATATTTCAGTCTTGTCTTTATATTTTTAGGAAAGAGTAAGCATGTAAAACATTTTGGCCAAAATAGACCTTTTTCTTTCTGTTTCTCTTTCCTGTAGTTCAATATCCCTCAACAAACTGTAAGCCAAATAGAAAAAACACCCAGTCACATTATAAGCTTGTTACTCATGTCAAATTGTAGTTCAAAGGTGTTACTGAATAATACTACTAATGTGTAAAAGAACTTAAAAACTTGAAAGGCCACAAGTCACAATTGCTAAACATGAAAGTTTTTCAAAAATGCCCTTGTGTAGCATTAGATGTACAGACACATGCTATAGATAGACACATCATAAATGACGTCAAATACATTTGTACATAACATTTTTCTACAGCTTTTGAGGCGTGTAAGTGTTTTTAGTTGTACCATAAGTGCAATGTGAGCACCGGTAGCTTATTGTAACCCAAACTTGTTGTAACGTATTGTGTACATACAGTAGTACTGTAAATCTTAACTTAATGCTCATATGCAAAGATGTGTTCCTTTTGCTCCATTTTGTGCTTTCTGTACTCCCCTGTAAGGGTGATATTTGAATACCAGTTGCTAGGACAAATTGTTACCATAGTGACTACATAAATGCTAAAACATTCTGGAGCTGCTTGCTTGAATATTTAAAAAGGCAACACGGTTTCAGCAGTTTTTGTCTAGACTTTAAGGAACCCCAAGTAGCTAGATATCAGTTAAGATACAAAAAGGCAAGTGCTTTGAGAAGGGCCACAACTTTTTACATAGCATTTTTTCCTAACAAAAGGATTGCCATTGTTCAGGTCTAGAGTCTTCCATGAAAGGATCATCTTCTTTGGTAAACATCAAAGGTAGCTGGTACATTGCTGAGTTTGTTTGAAAACTGACAATTTTGTGATTATCTGCCTGAGGTAGAGAAAGAGTCCTCTGTGGAGGGAGCTCTCCCAGTAAACAGGGCCTCAGAAGGGCTTCTAGAGTGTGTTTGTATTTCAAGTAAACTAGGCCTTAAAAGTAAGATGTGAAATGCTTTTGTATTTGGTGAGCAGGTAGTCTTAGTTTAATAAAATATAAAACCAAAATGTATCGACTTTTTCTTTCACTTTCTTTCATTTTGAACTGATAAAAACTGAGAAAAAAGCACCTTTGGTACTCTCTCATTGAGTCTGTTTCCACTGTATTAAAAAATGAAAAACAACCAAATCTGCAATATTCAGATATTTTATTAAATATTTTGTTCATTCCTGAGCTCACAATGTACATTCTTACTACATTTAGTTGCTCTTAAAAAAAGCCACATAAAGAGGCTACAATATTTCATCATCAGGGTAAAGACTGATGAATGAACTGAAAAATATAATACAGGCTGATAAAAGTATATCATTTCTAAAGTGACAACATAATTATGCTTCTACCAGAGGTACAACATTACAACCCTTGCTTCAAATGGTCCTGATCACATGACTGCCTCGTCACTGTGAGGTTTGGAAATGGGAAACGTCAAAGATGACTGTCTCATGTTGCAATTTTATATAATATCAAGTGGGATTTGGAGGAGCAAGGGCATAATGGCAGAATATTGAATGCGATAAATTAAAACAATTTATCTGTTTGTGCCACTTCTAAGCTGGCAGTTCTCTAAAATTATTTTAGGAACATCTTACCTGTCTTGATTACATACATACATACATAGTAGAACATTGAAGAAAGCAGTAACAGGTATCTTTTTTAATAGCAGTAAACCTATGTACTGCTTATTTCAATGGTGATTGCTCTACCAGGGGTTTGCCCTCATTGATTCTCTCTCTTGGTTTTTCACCAGATGATTGACAGTAAACAGAAAAAAAAGTCAACTAGCATCAATCAAATTGTTCATTTCATCATCATCACCATTGCATGTACAGAGTTTTGTTCATCCTTAACATTTCACTTAACTGTTCTTTAATGCTTATGGAACTGCAACACGTGCTACATGGAGGTCAGAGCAAGACCGTAAATCCCTGGTCAGAATAATGTGTACAGGAAGATGTGTTCGCACATGTCACATGACTTGCCCTATATATCTGAACTCCCGCCCTGTTATGGTACATTTTATTCAGTTTTAGCATCTCGTTTCCCCGGACCATATTCTTTAAACCAGTTTTTTCCAGTTTACACAAGCTTTACATCATTTTATAAGTTTACGGAATTTATTAAAATAAAATCTGTGACCGCATTCACTTTGGGAAGAGCTGAGGCTCAGCAAGGCAGAGACCTAAATATGGCAGACGTACATGAAAGGAAAACTGCCTAATCCTTTAATGGTCTCTCTGCCTCTAACATGCCTCCCCACGCGTCGTCCCTGTGGGGGTACAGTCATTAAATCTCGGCTCAATTCAACCGGTCAAGGGATGACGCGTGGGGAGCCGTGGTTTCTGCCCTGAAGGAGAAAATGACAACTGTTCACTTTTGGCTTAGTTTCTATATTTAGAGCAGCACAGGCTATTAAAGGGTGGTCTTGCATCATTTCACACAAAAAAATGGCTAATGACCAGTTCTTGGATGAATTGTTTGAAAAATTACATGGAAGATTGCATAACACACAGGACTTGCCTCTGCTAAAAAGTGAGCAGAAAGACTAGCCATGTGCCCCTGTGACATGCTTGAGGAAGCAAAGGCTATCCTTAAGGTACAGCTGGAGTTAGCCAAGGGCAGAAAAAAATAATAACTGGAGGAAGCAGGTGGCTCGAGACCTGAGAGAATTTGGTTTTGAGCTGCATGAATGGATATGCAAAAACATTATTATTCACATTCCATTACCTGCCAAACAGGGCACTAGCACGCAAAACTTTTTCATAGTGCAGGGATTGAATTCAATAAATTGACCGAAAATTGCTTTGTGAAACTTGACAGAATTTGGATCAGTACTTGTTCAAAACGAGAGGATACTGCTGATAAAGAGAACAGATGTGGGCAAAAAAAGACAAGTTGCAGCAACTGGATGCTTTCAGAAAAGTGGAAAGGGACACATACAAGTCTGGTGAATTCTCCCAATCCTCCCGCAATGCACCCAAGTGTACAACTTGTAAGAAACCAAGAAAGGGACACAAGAAAGGATTGTGTACATTGTAAAATCACCTGTTTTCAAGCAGGAAATTGAGTTTTTTTTATAGGAAATTGAGTTTTTTAATAATTTCATTTGGCTCTAAACTAGAGAAACTGAAAGAGCTAGAAGCTAACTTTAATAAACAGGAAAGAGAACTTGAGAATATGAAGGAGTCCTATGAAAGAAATGTTGAAAAGTTCAAACACAACAAAAGAAAGTTGGAGGAGAGAGAAAAATAGCTTGAAGCATGGGAGAATGAAATAATGTTAAGGGAGGAAACCCCAAAGAAAAAGAAGGAAAAAGATGCCTTGCCTACTGCTTTAGTCAGGTCTTGTTCAGAAATACCCATTGCCAAGGCAACTTGCCCAAGTCCAAGTGGACTTACTTCTACTTTGTCAGCCAAAGAGGTTTTATTGTCTGATGGATTAAGAGGAATTTCTTCCTTTTGTGTCAGACCGATTTTGTGTCTCTAAGTGAGACTTCTCCCATTCCCATATGTTTTCCGTGATACAGGGGCTTCTCAGTCACTTCTGTTAGAGAGTACATTGCCTTTCTGTGATAAGAGTGCCACTTAAATATCATTCGGGTATTGAATGGAGAATAAGGTCGCGCGCGTTATACGTCACAGGTCTTGCGTTACTACCCACGTGCTACGATTTTTCCCTTGGGGGGCAGCAAGCAGAAATTTTGTACAGGAGCAATGCAAAGATGGGTGAATACGATACGTTGTTTTTAACCGAAGACGATGTTCCCGGGGCGAAACTGCCAACACCAAAAGTAAAGGATCATGCCAACTTTGTTTTGGAACGATGTGGTTAGCCTGTCAGTGGCGAGTTGGGGAGATAAGAGCAGCATTGATAGCAAGGTACTGTGTACACGTGAACCGGCAAAGTTAATGATAATTTCGTGTTGCAAAAGCATAATTAAATCTTTTAGTTATTTTTCAAACGATACTATTTGAATAGCAGATGCATAGATCTTACTAAAAACAATGTAACATTTTGATGACATTGAAAATCAAAAGCTGATGTGCAGGATTGTTTGAGGAGGACAAGGCCACAGCAAGTTACGCATGAAATTTTGCTATATAACACCATATCATATGTTTATGTCGTTTATAACTCTGTGGTATTATTGCTGCTCAAATTAATACCTGATATTATTTCTCAGGCTACCAAGTACATATCAACTCATTTTTGTGGCAGTTGACCATCACATCATGTGTGCAGGTTATTATTATTATCATTATTATTATTTGATCAAGCACATTTTGATAAAGTGGCCATGCTTTAACAAGAGAGAGTCAAAATTCATGATGAATTTTAAAAGATTAAATCATCACTAGTATGTGCAATTAAAGCTATTTGATTATACTGTACATATTTGATTTTCAATTATATTGATTAAGATATGCGGTTTCTGCCTT